TTGAGAGGTAATTAAAATAGCTAAGGGTGGTGATCTGACTTGAAGTGTGTGTTTTGCTCCCGCTGCATCACAGCGGGAGGAGCTGCGTGTCTCCGTCCTGTCAGATTAGACTTCACTCGCGTTTATGTCAATATCGAGAGAAAGATAAATAATCTGAATTCAGTGTGCAGTGTACTTTGACGCGGGGGTGAGCAGCAGAGGTGGGGAGAGGCGGGGCTATTGCGTCATCATTATCAGAAAATGATCGTATAGGGCGTAATAACGGAGCCGTTGGACCCATAGATATGGTTGGACCCCCCAGAGCGTTGCGTATGCCGTTCTATCCACCTCGGGACCCGTTATCGTTACCGTAGTCGTTTACTGCCATATTCTGTCGTCAGGGTTGGGAGGGTTACTTTGTAAATGTAATCAGTTACTGATTACTGAATACATGGCTCTGAAAGTAATCCGAATACAGTTACAGTTACGTGTCTTAAAAAACGTAATCAGATTACTTTTAGATTACTTTTGGATTACTTTCTTTTTCCATCACAGATGGGTATGTTTTGGTGAACACAAAAAGCAAAAGGAAACTGAACGTGTTTTGACTGTTTTAATGGCTTATCAAGAGCACAACTGAAACATAACATCTGAAACGATGTAACAACATAATACACTTTTTGGGGATGCAGCTTGGGATGTGAGGAGTGAGGGACACGGCTTAGAACGAGCGTGTCGCCTTCTGTCCTGCCAGTGTTGGCAGGACATGAATTAAAATGTCGAACTTGGACTTCATTTTAAGGACATTTCGGCCAGGGGTGTTGAGCTATATTTGTTTAAGCACCGGATTGGGAAAACAGGAGAGTGTGTGCACTGTGCACCACTCTGCCTTGATCTATGAATTAATGTCCGTGACACTCACAGTATCTGCTGCCCACAGCTGTTTTATAGAAGGAAAACCTCCTTCACTTCATGAAATCTCTGCAGCACCAGGAGGCAGCGGGAGGGTTAACTCAGCCTCTGAGAAGAGGAGCGCGCAGTGCCTTTCACGCACCGCCTTTCACGCACCGCCTTCACTGTGTTTACCTTCAGAAAGAATCATTAGAAAGGCTAAAGAGCGACCGCAGGCTGATGTGTTTTAACCACACACACCTCTACACACACACACACGATTTAAATGCAGACTTTTGTTCCTCCATGTTTCGTTGTTATTGTTTCACTGAGCGGACCCGCACATTTTTTTCAAACGCTCCCTTTTTTTGGTCCATCTGCGGCGGTAATAGGTTTTGTGCGCTGTGATGATTCGGCTGTACCTTTAGTAATGAATATTAAATGTTGTGAGGAAATCTTTTCACCAATAATTCCAATAAGTAATCCAAAATGTATTCACTTCAGGTTTACGAAAGTAACTGTAATCAGATTACTCGTTTTTCAAATGTAACGCGAGCTGAATACAGTTACTTGATTTTTGTATTCTGATTACGTAACACCGTTACATGTATTCCGTTACAACCCAACCCTGTCTGTCGTCCTAGTATGGCCGAACGGTCTATATGACACAAAACTCTAACGGAAACTACCGTATGCGTCCCCGTGGGGCCTGGGCCTCAGAGCTCTCCTGCCCTTGTGTGTCTTCCTCCCTGTGTGACTGTCAGCCCCTCCCTTGATTGTTGCCACCTGTGTCCCAATACCTCTTGTATATATAGTCCTCGTCTCCCTTTGTCCTGTGCCAGTTCGTCTTGTCTCACCAAGAGAGCCAGCTTTTCATAACAAGAGACTTTTGTAGCAAGTTTTCATCGTCAAGTTTATTTAGTTCCCATGTTTGAAGTTTGCTTTTCTACGGGAAATCAAAAATCAGTAAAACATCAGTAAAACGTTAAAAGTCCTCTGTGGGCAGGGCTGGGGAAAGTATTCAGATTGTTTACTTGAGTAAAAGTACTAATACCACACTGTACAAAGACTCAATTTCAAGTCAAAGTACTGCATCAAGAATGGTACTGAAGTTAAAGTATTTAAGTACCATTAGGAACATGTACCGGAAGTTTTTCCTTGTACAATGTGAGGGTCTAAGGACAGAGGGTCTAAGGACAGAGGGTCTAAGGACAGAGGGTGTCGTATTGTCACTGATATTCTGTACAAACTGTGAAGTCCACTGAGACAAATGTAACATTTGTGATATTGGGCAATATAAATAAACATTGATTGATTGATTGATTGATTGATGTAGTAGTAGTAAAAGTACTCATAGCAGAATAAACTAATATTCCCATATTTAATTATGCATGTATTCATTAATTCTCCTTGTATTTATTTATTCCTGTATTTATTTGGATGATTATTTATTATTTTATAATTGTATTCCTGTTTTTATTCATACATTAATTTATTATTTCTTTATTTATATTTTTTTTATATTTAAAGTACCTCTAAAGTGTACTTAAGTACAGAGTAAATCTACTTAGTTACTTCCCACGTCTGGTATTAATTTACACCAAAAATAGACTGCTATAAGTTTTGTTATACCAAGGTGTACTTATCAGCTATTTGTTTTTGACTGTGTTTGTCTTCTTAGTGTCGTGGCTTCCTTCCTTGTTTTTCTTTCAAGCCACTAGACGCCTTCAACAGACATTTCTAACTCGTTTTCTTTCCTTTATATTACTTAGAGTTGAAGAGTTGCTTGGCCTCCGATGGTTTGGATGATATTGTGCGATGTGTTTGTTCAAAATAAAATAACAAACTCCACTACATGTATTGAATACCTTTAGTTACTTCACAGATGTGGATGAATGATGTGAAATATAATCAAGTGTTAAATCAGACTTTAGTTCCACCTGGAGTAAATCCACAAGCTACCCTGCAGTATACAAAGTCATTCAAACTAGCTGCACCTTTACCAGCTTTGAGAACACTTTCATGATCAATCATTATGTGAGGAAGCACACACACTCCCTCACTAACATTTGGCTTAACTATTTGTTTGTTAAGAAAGGTAGTACATGTTTCTTCAGAGTTGACTTTATTTCAGTTAAAGTTATAAAAACAGTTTACATAGATAAATTAATAAAATGCATCTAAATTAATTTTTCAGTCTTTAAAACAGACAATCACAAAGTAATCACCATTTCCTTTGTTCAGTCCTGGAAGCCATCTTGTGCCAGGGCTTGGACGTGATTGGTCAGGAAATGTGTGATTGTATGAGTGTCAATTCGGTTAAAAACTATCCGTTTTAAGCAGACCTTGTTGTTTTTGAAGGTACAATATTTATGTTGATGCAATTATGAATTACTTATAGACAACAGTGTTTAATTTTGTATTTAACCCTTCACTCCGCTTTCAGAACCATGACCTGATTGGCCAGGTTGGATTGGGAAGGCGGGCAGTCTCCTATAAATGTGGTTGGGAAGAGAGGGGGGGGGGGGCATGTGTGTTTGTTCCTTGCTGGTGAACGCAGCACCAGCATGCAGTTTGTGTTTCTGAGGATTAATGTTGAAGGCTAAGAAATAAAACGCCTGTTTATTTAGCAAGAAAACCCTCTCTCCACGTATTGTTTTTTCACCTGCACCTCACATTGTAACACATTATAAAACACATCATATATATTATTCTGAAATGGACCAATCTGCACAATTACTACTTTTACTGTCGCTACTTTAACTATATTTTGATGAGAATACTTTTGTACTTATAAAGGCCTCATTTTTATGTCATTCAGTCAGATAAGGACTCCTTACTAAATGACAAAGTGGCTCTTTATTTAACGTGATTTTGTAAAAATTAGTGATTTCAATGAATGTAGAGCAGATTATTCCATGTATGGACTTAAATACAAGTCTGCTGGTATTAAGCTGTTTATTTGTGTTTTATTCTCCCTCATGTTATGTTTTATCATTGAGTCTCTTAAAGTTCATATCTTCAGAATAACCCAAACTGTTTTTAAATAACACTTTTCTTTAATGTTCTTAACAGATATGAATGAAACCCATATAGGCCGCCGTTTGTAATGAACTCCACCAGAGGGCGTCATCAGATATCACTTTTAATCTTCAATCTTTTGCACTGATTCAATTAAACCATGGGTTTGTTGTTTTGTATTAACCTGTATGTGTACATTATTACATGATGTGGCAATAATGGTTATGGGTTTGCAAGCCCGTTTCAATAAAGCATCCACGGTAAGAACATTAATTAGCTTGCATTAAATGTCACTTTTTGATGACAACTAATTCAAAGTATAATGAAGTCACAACAATCGTAACTAAAGCCATTGGATGTCTCAACAAATCAAGTAATGCTTTATAGTTTTAGCCATTGTTAAGCTTTGATATCTACTATATCTATGATGTCTATGTCTTAATGAAACACAATAAACACTTTGCTTTGCTTTCATTTTTTTTATTTAGATTATTATGATCCCCATTAGCAGAAGCATGATCATTTGCACTCCTTCCTACGTCCATTAACATACTTTAAAGTCATTGATTCCACTCTAAAAACACAGATTTACAGCCTTATCAACATCTCATCCCGTCATAACAACAATAAATCAAAGATAAACATTATTATCATTATCAACCATGAACAACATTTAAAGTGGACCTATCATGCTATATTTGAATAATATAGTGTAGGACCATACCTAAAAGGCATATTTATACTTTTTTTTTTTCAAAATACCAAACAGATCATGCATTTTAGCCATGCCTCATTTTGCTCAATTTGACATTTTTTAGCTCTGTTTTAGCAAGGGCTGATTCTGTGAGAACAGCACCATCTAGAGGCCTGGCATATGTACTACAGCGTCTCCAGCGCTTTCGAACGGCAATGGCCGTGGCTGTCTCCTCCTGATTGGTGGAGTTGGCCCAATAGCCGTAGCGCCACCGTCCTGACGTCAGGACAGTGTTCAAATCTGGATCAGTTTTTATCAGATCCGTTGCAGCCCCTTTTTTAGAGATTTGGGTATGGAGGAAAATAGAGAGGGTTGTGTTTTGTGACACTTGGTGAGTTCCCTGGAACACCGGGGACACATATTCATGTAGAAAAGACGTACACAAGTGCATTTTGCATGATAGGTCCCCTTTAAATATTAAATTAATTAATGATTAATAACAGACATGTTCATGCTAGTAAAAAGTCATTCATAAAAAAATACATCCTTTCTAAATGGCCTTGACTTTTAAAATGTCAATTATATTCTTTCAATTCCAAGAAAATAGAGTTTTAAAGAATAACTCTGTTATTATATGGTTCCTTACACCATAAGTGATATGGTGTAATATTACCAGTATTTCATCTTCTGAACAATGTGCACCGGAAATTAATGCCCCAAAGCTCTGTGCATGACTGTTTCTTTCAGTATTGAGTGCCGCTGATCAACTCTTGTGATGTATTCAAGGATCAGACAGGTGAAGGCTTTGCCCTCGGCACCATGGACATTTAGGGAACTTTTTATGCTTCTAATTTCTAAGAACATATTGTTTTCTGATGATCTAACAGTCTTAAGGAAGGTAATCAATCATTAGATTAATGAGACTGTATTGAATAATATAGATCAGTGAGCTGACCTTGGTTATAAGTAGTATGACATATGTTAAACATCATAGATATGTTAACAGAAAGAAAATAAGCATCTGATAGATCAATGAAAACCCTGTACATCACCAGTATATATATATATATATATATATATATATATATATATATATATATATATATATATATATATTATATTAAATCATAACGAATCCCTCTGTGGAAAATCCACATTTTTTTACTCTGTGTGATCGACAGGAGTGATGATCAGAGGGTTATTACTATCCCTTTTGCAATTGAACCCCAAAAAGACATTGTCCCGAGTAGTGAAGTATGGGTAGAGTTTCTCTTTGAAGCAGCAGCCAGTGAAGGAGTAGATCAGAGCTGCAGCATCAACATCATAAAAGGAGACCAGACCCTCCTCATAATCCACAAACACCCCCCACCTTCTCAGGCTGAGACTTCAGAGAGAGAAGGATATCAGGGTCAGCGCAAGCGTAGAACTTGTTGACATCCCTCAAACCTATGGTCCAGAAACCATTCTCAGGGGTCTTTGTGATCTTTCCCTTCCTGTTGATCGACTCTCTGGCCACTCCTAAAGTCCAGACAGACACACTTTGAACCTGAACCTCGTAATAACATCTTCGTGAAGAGAAACTCTGCTTTGCTAACACAGAGTAACTAGCATCAAATCTCTCTGGGTTGCCTGGGAGATTTTCTTCACGTCACCATTTTTAAACTTGTTTTCCATCATCAGACAGGATGAGTGCAGGATGTGCTGTATCAGGATCAAGAGTCACCTCCACCTCATACCGCTGGACCCTCTTCAGCTTGACCTCAAGCCGCTTCTTCATCTGTTTACTGAGCGTCTCCTCCAGCTGAGTCACAGCTCTCCTCACAGTCCCCTCATATGAAGGTGGACGGACCCTGACTTCTGTCCAGTTCTTGGTGGGTGGAGCAGCTTTCAGGGACGTGAAGCTTTGGAGGAGGTGGAGCTGGTCTTCAGAGCGTGAGAGCTGCTCCACCTCAGAGCTTCTCTTCCTCAGCTCAGAGATTTCCTGTTCCAGCTCTTTGATGAAGCCTTCAGCCTGTTCCTCTGTCTCTCTCTGCTTCTCTTTGATCGTGTTGATGAGCTTGGCCTGGCTTCTCTCAGCAGACTCCTTCAGAGAGGTGAAGACCTGAACACCATCTGCTATCTCTCTGTCTGCTCCTTCCTTACTGAGCTCCACTGAGCGATTCATCTCCTGAATCTTCAGTCGTCTCTTCTGGATCATCAGCTGAATTTCAGCCTCTGTCTTCCCCAGCTCAGCCTTCTTTCCTTCATATCCTTCTTTCAGAGGAACAACATCATGTGTCTTGTGGTCTAAAACAGTGCAGAGCATGCAGACACACACCTGGTCAGTCTTACAGAACAGCTCCAGCTGTTTATCGTGCTTCACACACATCCTGCCTTCCAGGTTCTCCTCAGGGTCGATCAGCTGATGTTTCTTCAGGCCTGCCCTTGTCAGGTGAGGCTCCAGGTGAGTCTCACAGTAGGACTCCAGACACACCAGGCAGGACTTCAGGGCCTTCAGTCTGGTTCCAGTGCAGGCGTCACAGGGAACTTCTCCTGGTTTGACAACTTGTTGCTCTGAGCTGCTGCTGCTGGCTTTCTGTTGAGCTGACTGTCTGAACTGAGCAGCCATCTCAGAGATGAACGTGTTTACGCGTAGTTCAGGTCTTCTGTCGAAATCCTCTTTACAGATAGGACACTGACACTGGACATCAACATCCCAGTGTTCAGAGATGCAGCCTTTACAGAAGTTGTGTCCACATGGTATGGTGACTGGATCAGTGAACACATCCAGACAGATGGAGCACAGAAACTGATCTTCAGTCAGCAGACAGCTGGCAGCAGACATATCTACACTCTGAGGACAAAAAGGAAAATGTAATTACATATCTTTTGTTTATCTGTTTCCTGAAAAGTATGACAGGTTAAAACAAAACAAATTACTGTGATATATTCAGTCAGTGCTTGGCTATTGTTGAAGTAGTACGACAAGGGTCCATGTTAATTTGATCAAAGCTCAATTAATGTAGGCTATGGACATAAAGGGCCTTTCTGTGTGCAAAAGAAAATGGTTCACAAATATTGGTATTCAATGTTTTGTCTAGTCCAGGGGTCGGCAAGTAAGTTTGGATTCTACAGTTGGCCAGTCCGCCCCTGCTCACAAACTTCTTAAGATCCAAAGCTTTAGTGCGTTTTGAATCAATGCTGACAGTCTCTTCTCGGTCATTGTAGACCGAATGCTTCTCGTTTTGTGCCGTCCCATTCAAATGAAAATCACATTTCCATGCTCGCGCCAGGGCCGGGGGGGAGGGGTTACAAGGCTCGCGTCTTGTGCTGCATTCACTTGCACTCGGACATTAGGGATTTTCTCTCATAAATGTCCGATCAGCCAAAACCTTTCTTTCAAAACAAAGCTAATTTTCCGGGCCAAATATTATTGCTGGAGGGCCAACAATGGCCCGTGAGCCGCCTGTTGCCGACCCATGGTCTAGTCAAATGTTCTGGACAAACAGGGCAGGATTTAGGATTCCAGACAACGACTCGTAATCCCTGACTGCCCAAAATGTTCCGTGGCGTCTGGAAACCCGACAATAAGCAGTGACGTAAAAACGGGGGGTATTGTGGCGTTAAACAGGAAACTACCTGAACTAAACTTAAGACTTTGGTTAGGTTGGCTAACCATAGCTAGCAACTCTTATGTGGTTTTCAAACTACTATTATTGCTAGTTGAATTATTAATTAATACATTTTGCATAGTTTAGCTGTTTTTGTGTTACTAATGTTAGCTAATGCTAATGTTTGTTTGCTCAAATGGACCAATCTAGCTAGCATTCATTAACATAAGCAAATGTATTCACCTTGTGCTTTGCCAGCTGTAGTGCGCTGCCAAATAGCCTTATAATTCCAACATTACTGTTATTAATTATAACATGTATGCAGGCTTGAAAATAACCATTTAGATTAGGATATGTGTTTAGTTTACCAATATCATTTTGAGAATTTACGGCTGTATGAAGAGGCCAGTCAGCTTTAAAAAAGCACGTCAACAATGTTTTTATAATTAATCTCACAGCTCGATAGTTAAACCATATGGTGTTAAATAATATAGAAAAATAGATAGATAGATAGAGAGAGAGAGAGAGAGAGAGAGAGAGAGAGAGAGAGAGAGAGAGAGAGAGAGAGAGATAGATAGATAGATAGATAGATAGATAGATAGATAGATAGATAGATAGATAGATAGATAGATAGATAGATAGATAGATAGATAGATAGATAGATAGATAGATAGATACATACATACATACATACATACATACATACATACATACATACATACATACATACATACATACATACATACATACATACATAGAATCAGATAGTTAATGTTTGATAGCTAGGCCTAAATAGCACACTGACAGGTTAATTGATTATTTTGGAAAGTTTCATATGTCTTCCTGCAGTCACTAACAGGATGGATGATTTAAAACCATGTGATCACGGCAGTGTAGCTGAGAATCATCTCTAATGAAACTCATTGTGAATAAAGCCCCTTTGTATTGTATTGTTTACAATGCTGCTTGTGTTTGGGAAGAACTAAGAACATATGCTTTCGAACCGGAAGTAGGAAAAAGGGGCGTGGCTACTACACATTATTATCACCAGACTATATATAAAATAAGTTACAGTAATTTTGAAATATTCAATTTCCACCCTAACACTGACGTTGTAACACTGATTTTATAAATTGAGGATTATCATTCGGTGTACATTTGATTTTCAATTTCGTCCTGTCTACATATTTTACACAGAATCTGTTTAGGGAGATTGTCATACCATGAAAATCATATACCGTTTCAACCCTATTTAACATAAGTGTTAAAAAAAAAAAAATCCACCACGAGTTCTGGCAAAACAGAAGAAACACAGCTAAATAAAAAGTGCTCTGTTCAAAGAGGAAGTAAAGGGAAATCAGAGAGAGGGAGACAGCAGAGAATCAAACACATACGCAGAAGAAAATATGAAAGCTAATACCAGGAAACCCCCACAACAAACCTCAGTTAAAGAGAGGAACTTCCTGTCTGAAGTTGAGAGCAAATACTGGTTGTTGAAACGCAGTAAATATCCTCCGCTGTGCTGCCGTACAAAGACAAACTGAGAAACTCTGACAGAAAGCATGTGAGGCCTGTTAGCTTTAGCATGAGTTCATCTGGAGTCACTGTTCTCTGGATATAGTTGAAACTAAATGTTGAGCAGATATTCAGTTGGTGGGTCTTGTCTCTGTACTCACCGGGGTTTGGCAGAGATCCTGCTGTGGTGTTCAAGATTAGTTTAATGTTCCTTTAGGGAGAAATAGAGAGGATTGTCGCGACGGCAGCTCTGCTCTCGATCAGAAATACTTTAACTTTCATTCAGGAAGTGCCACGTTGCAGCTCTCCTCTCGTTGTGACTCTCTGGGGGGAAATCTAAAATCAACTAGAGAATGCAATTCCTGAAGAAATTGCTTGTGGGAATGCTTTATGCTGAAAACTTGACGCTGAATTGCTATGCTGAAATATAATGTGTAAGAAGAAAGTGAAGAATTTAGATTGAAATGATACATGAACACTGGGGGCTTGAATGTGTGATAAGAGAAGAAAAGAAAGTAAAAAAGCTTGGAAAAGCAGCAGAATATTTGAACCGTGTTTGATGGTGAGCATTGTGTTGCCATGGCAACGGCATTTGAAGAAATCTCAAAACTGTCCCGTAGATGTCTACCCGGCTGGACTGTTAGCACACATGTGAAGTTTAAGCACTTTTTGACAATTTTCATAGGAGTTATAGCAATATCGTGTTTTATTGCAAGAGATGCGTTGCCATGGCAACAGCTTTTGAGGAAAACTCACTAATGGAAGATAGACATGTTGAGGGCTGGACCATTAACTGTCATCTGAAGTCTGGTGGTGTTTTGACCATTTTCATATCAGTTACGACAACATCGTGTTTTTTGGCGAGGGATGCGTTTCCATGGAAACAGCCTATGGTGAGATCTCAGATTTGGCGTAGAGCTGTTGAGGCATGGACCGGTGATATACAATCGAAGTTTGGGGACGATCGGACCATGTCCATTGGAGTTACAGCGACATCGTGTTTCATGGCGAGTGATGCGTTTCCATGGAAACGGCATATAATGACACCCTATAATTGACATAGAGTTGTTGAGGGCCGGACCATTAACCATTATCTGAAGTCTGGTGCTGTTTTAGGCCATTTGCATAGGTATCACGACAACATCGTGTTTTATGGCGAGGGATGCGTTTCCATGGCAACAGCCTATGGTGAGATCTCAGATTTGGCGTAGAGCTGTTGAGGCATGGACCAGTGATATACAAGCAAAGTTTGGGGGACGATCGGACCGTGTCCATTGGAGTTACAGCGACATCGTGTTTTATGGCGAGTTTCCATGGAAACGGCATATGATGACACCCCATAATTGACGTAGAGCTGTTGAGGGCAGGACCATTAACCATTATCAGAAGTCTGCTGCTCTGAGCATGTCAGTTGGAGTTATGACATCATCGTGTTCCATGACACAGGTGTTTATATTTGAGCTAACGAGGTGTCCAGAGATCAAAGGTTTCCATGGTGATCAATGAGAGGAAAGCATGTTTATTGTTCTGAATGAGAGATAAACCTCTTACATGTGAACGTTTTGTTGAAGAACCGTAACAGATATCGGTGAAATTTCAAAGTGTGAAGCATGTCAAGGAAGTTGAGCATCTGAAGTGTACTTTTTGTGTACTTTCGGGTTAATAATGTGGCCTTTTTGGCAGATTAACTAAAGGTGTGCGGCTGCTGTGGTGGGGAAAGATGAGGCTGAACTTACAATGGAGTTTAATGGAGACATGTTGAAAGTTTTTGTCACTTCATGCCCTCAAGAGGCATTTTGTTTAATTATTTTGTTTAATTAAATTTTATCTTTCAAGCTACGTTTCTCATGAAAAATGATGTCTCAGGAATGTAGGGTTTGGGAATTATGGCAGGGTTAAAAGAAAATATGAAGGCAAAATTAAATCTGTCCTCCACTCTAGCTGTGACATCACACTCTCTAAAATCTGAAGAAGGCCTCTTTACCAAGGTCTGAACAATGTTTAATATCTCTAAAAGTAAGAATCAGATTTAAAAGTTGTGTTACACGAATAATGTCAGAAAGATGTGTAACATTTTAAAGTTGGAATGAGGTTTCTGAGTGAAAGTATGAATGAACAGTTAGCAGTTGAAGTTGCATGAAGATTGTTGAAGTCTGAAGAGTTCTCCATTGACTTCCATGTTAAAAATGTGATGAATTATGGGATGAATCTCTGGAATTATGAAAGTTATGAATGAGAAAAGTAATAGCCATCGATTACCGACCGAGCTGAACGTTTTGATGTTTGAACGGAGTTTCTGCAATGTTCAATGTGGGAGAAGAAGAGGTGCAAAATAACTCGGCGGAATAATAAAGAATTTCGTGCGTAGCATAACAGATAGTTGGAATGCTGTGTCAAAAATAAAACATACTCTTTATTCAAAGTCCTCTGTGGGCAGGGCTGGAAGAAGTATTCAGATTGTTTACTTGAGTAAAAGTACTAATACCACACTGTACAAATACTCAATTTCAAGTCAAAGTACTGCATCAAGAATGGTACTGAAGTTAAAGTATTTCAGTACAATTAGGAAAATGTACTTAGTAGTAAAAGTACTCATTGCAGAATAAACTAATATTCCCATATTTAATTATGCATTTATTCATTAATTCTCCTTGTATTTATTTATTCCTGTATTTATTTGCACGGTTATTTATTATTTTACAATTGTATTCCTGTTTTTATTCATACATTAATTCATGCATTTCTTTATTTATATATTATGTCATGTCTGTACAGTAAGTAAAGGTATTAAATACATGTAATGGAGTAAACGTACACCTTTTATCTCTGAACTGTAGTGGAGTACAAAGTAGCATAAAATGGAAATACTCAAGTCAAGTACAACAAGTACCTCTAAAGTGTACTTAAGTACAGAGTAAATCTACTTAGCTACTTCCCACCTCTGGTATTAATTTACACCAAAGATATACTGCTATAAGTTTTTTGTATACCAAGGTGTACTTATCAGCTATTTGTTTGTACAGTGTTTGTATTCTTATAATTGTTTTGGAGCTGTAAAAACACAGCGGGGAGAGAAGGGGGGGAGAGCAGGTTCCTCCCGGTGTCCCTGAACGCCTCACGGAGAGTGCAGGGTATTTAACATTCTGCCCCGGACAGCAAGCAGGTTGTTGCGCATGCGCAGCCCATTGACCGTGCATGAATACGGAGCGAGGAGAGGACAGCAGCACAGGGAGGACCAGGAGGACATGGAGGGACCCATCTGCACCCCCGGGGAGAAGAAGAAGAAGAAACATGAGGAAGAGGAGGAGGAGAAGAAGAAGATCCCGGACAGGGTGACTCTGAAGAAGGAGATTGGGCTGCTGAGTGCATGCACCATCATCATAGGTGAGAACAAACATTATAGGAAGAGGAGGGGGTGGGCTGGGGGGGGTGGGGGCTTTACTCTGAAGAAAAAACAGAGATCACTTTATTCTGAAGAACTTTAAAAAAACACATCTTTGTTTCTGCAGAACTCATATATTACAAACTGGTGTTGACAAAATATTGGACTTGAGTAAAAGTATAAGTACTCAGATCTTGTACTTAAGTAAAAGTAGAAGTACTCAGATCTTGTACTTGAGTAAAAGTAGAAGTACTCGGATCTTGTACTTGAGTAAAAGTAGAAGTACTCAGATATTGTACTTGAGTAAAAGTAGAAGTACTCAGATCTTGTACTTAAGTAAAAGTAGAAGTACTCAGGCCTTGTACTTGAGTAAAAGTAGAAGTACTCAGATCGTGTACTTGAGTAAAAGTAGAAGTACTCAGGTCTTGTACGTGAGTAAAAGTAGAAGTACTCAGATCTTGTACTTGAGTAAAAGTAGAAGTACTCAGATCTTGTACTTGAGTAAAAGTAGAAGTACTCAGATCTTGTACTTCAGTAAAAGGAGAAGTACCAGAGTGTAGGAATACTCTGTTACAGTAAAAGTCCTGCATTCAAAATGTTTCTCAAGTAAAAGTAGAAAAGTATTATCATCAAAATATAGTGAAAGTAGAGACAGTAAAAGTAGTCATTGTGCAGATTGGTCCATTTCAGAATAATATATATGATATGTTTTATAATGATTGATCATGAAAGTGTTCTCAAAGCTGGTAAAGGTGCAGCTAGTTTGAATGACTTTGTATACTGCAGGGTAGCTTGTGGATTTACTCCAGGTGGAACTAAAGTCTGATTTAACACTTGATTATATTTCACATCATTCATCCACATCTGTGAAGTAACTAAAGGTATTAAATACATGTAGTGGAGGAAAAGTACACCGTTTACCTCTGAACTGTAGTGGAGTAGAAGTACAAAGTAGCAGAACATGGAAATACTCAAGTAAAGTACCTCAGATTTGTACTTAAGTAAAGGTAGTTCCCACCTCTGGTTGTGTTAAGTGCTTACGTGGCTGAAATATCTGAAGTCCAGGATGTCAGGCAGAAGAACATTGTCTGCTGGAGCAGAACGGACAGCAGGCTGCTTCAAACACACCTCAGCTCAGTCAATACATCAGGGGGCCGTTAGTATTCATATGAACCTGCAGGAGGTCATGGAGAAATGTCTGGAGAGATCCAGCTCTAAGATTTCTCACAGAACTTCAAGCAAAACGTCACATTTTTTATTCCATTAACAAGTAAGACCATCCGGGAAATGTGAAGTCATTTTTTAAACATGAATAATATTTTTTGGGAAAGTGCGGCCTTTAAAGTGAAACTTGAATAGTTTTTTTTTAACAAGGAGACATTTTTCGGAAAGTGGGGACCTTGTTGTGAAAATTAAGTCATTTTAGAAACCTTTTTGGCAAGTGTGGTATTTAAATTTTGAAAGTGATTTTTTTTTATTTAGTTAATTTCTTTATTAAAAACAATTTAAATTAAAGCTTTTTTTGTAACATTAGGAAATATTTTTGAAAATGCGGTTTTCAAAAGTGACAAAAAAAATAATAACAATTCATTTGAAAATGTAGGATTTAAACAGAAAAGTTAAATAATTTGTTGAAATGTAAGTAATTTTTGAGTTTTACATTTTTTTTAACATTTTTTTTAACATTTCTGTAATTGTTGTATAATGTTTTGAAAATAATAGTTTTTTTTTGTCATTTTTGGAAAGTGTGACATTTTTTAATAAGGTTAGTTCTGAAATGTGAAAACAATAAATAAAGCTTAAGTCATTTTTAAAACATAAACATTTTTTTAAATGTTATTTTTCCTAAAGTTTGGAGTTTTACAGAAAGTAATCCGGACAAAGAAGACATTTCAATTATTTTTTTAAACTTAAAGGTAGGGTAGGTAAGAATGGAGAAACCAGCTCGAGTGCGCTCAAATTTGAAACTACGCAACCAGAAAGAATTCTGATTTCAAGGTCACCTATTATGCAAAATCCACTTGTTCATGTCTCTTCTACATCAACATGTAACCCTCTGTGTTAAGAGACTCTCTTGCCAAAACGTTGTTTTGTCTTGTGTAACCATTAGCCAATCAGCAACCAAGGTAACCCCCCCCCCCCCCACCTTATCACCTGAATCTCCTCCTAGAGCACCATTGAGTTCTTTGTAACCAAATCTCTCTCAGAGGGGCGTGGGGAGGGGCTCCTTATTTTCATCTAAAGTAACAGACAGAGAATCAGCACTTTGGAAACAGGGCTGAAACAGAGGGGATTATGGGTAATGCTGCAATGATCTGTTTGGTGTTTCAGCCAATCAGAGACATGTTCTGTATATATCTGAGACCTATACTATATTGATGAGAAACAGTATCATAGGGGACCTTTAAAAGAAGTGAGAGTCTCCTGTGAGTTTTGTGGAGAGCTAAAGTCTGCTTCTCCATGTTCAGTCAGAGTCTGGGCACAGGGAGCAGACCTCAGGAATACAACAGAAGATCAGGAATAAACCACTCTGAGCTTTATAAAGCGTAGTACAGAGAACAGAGAGAGGTCCTGTGTGCAGAATGCTGAAGCACCTTTCCTTTCACACAGTGTACGCTGCAGTCACTTCCTGCAACAACATTCTGTCCCGTCAAATATAGTCTTATACTCTGATTGCCTTTTGCTCTGTTCAATTGTGTTTAACAGAGACGTATGTTAAGGGTTTACATTTCAGGAGGGCAAAGGAAGTGTAAAAAGAGGTTTAATGATGGGATGGAGGACCAGCTGTTTCCTCTCATGAATATATAGAGAGACTGTAAGCAGTGACAGTTGCTCCATTTAGGAAGGAAGTAGGTAACGGATAAATAAACAATTACATAGTTACAATTATGTATATAACCATATAAAAGTAAGGATTTTCAATATAAACATACAATAAATAAAAATATTTGTATAAACAGAAGAGCTTAGAGTAACATTTCCAATACAAAATATATATAATAATATATATAAACACCTAAAAATGTATAAACACAAACATTTTAAGTCCGAAAAAACAATAAAATCAAATATAATTTTGGAAAGTTGGAAAAGAAATGTCCAAAAAAAAGAATCATAAAAAAATACATGAATACAAACACAGAAAGTGAAATAAACAATGTTATTAAAAGTATTTATCTATATACCAGAAGTTAAACATCCAACAGATTTATATTGATTAACTATAACAAGTTCAAGTAAAAGTGTGCACATTGTACTACAATACATATCCTAATATGTACCGTGGTGTATGTATTGCACAGTTTGAAAAGGTTTGGCTGCTCGTGGTGCACTGAGCTCTGGTGCCAGACACAGTTAGTTAAATGTGAACCCCGGAGTATTTCCTGGTGCTGGTGATCCCCTCCCCTGGATAATTTATGTCGGGTTATGTAATGGCCGTCTGTGCCACTTGGCTGCCTTCTGCCGTGCTACTGGTAGCGCTGTAGTGTGAATGCGTGGATGTGCTGGTACTCTACACTGCATACTGAGGCTCTGTGCAGCAGGGATTGTCCCTGCTGAGTGATGGCCTTTACTGCCTTCTCTAACTCACTCTGAGCTACAGCGCTTTGTCTCTTGATGCCCTGTAGAAACTCAGAGGGGAACGGTTAGTGGAGTTGAACGTATGTTAGCAAATGCAACAAGTTAGCTGAAGTTAGCAGCATCAGATGAATCATGGAACGTAGGGGAAACATACTTTACCGCCTTCTCCAACTCACTCTGTGCTACAGCGCTTTGTCTCTTGATGCCCTGTAGAAACTCAGAGGGGAACGGTTAGTGGAGTTGAACGTACGTTAGCAAATGCAACAAGTTAGCTGAAGTTAGCTTTAAGTTAGCTGCATCAGATCACGTTGACAAATTGAAATTCAAAAGTTAAAGTGCCCATGTCATGGCCATTTCCACTGATCATAATTACATTGTTGAGGTATACTAAAATAGATTTATACTGTGCAATTTTCCAAACTCACATTGGTTTCGCATACAGCATCTCTGTAAAGTATGTGTATTCAGCAGTATTCACTCTCTCCACTAAACGACTCGTTGGAGCTCTTGCCCCCCCCTCCCTGTGAGCCTAGTGTGCTCCGATTGGTCAGCTCGGCCACTCTGTTCTGATTAGTCAACCACCAGAGAGGCTCCGCCCATGTCTAACAGTGCTTTTTCCGGCTGCTCTCAGCCGAACATCAGTCTTATCATGGCGTCGGTACAGCGGTATATTTTATACGCCAACTAACCGAACTGTACCTACAACTATTGTTATAGAAGAGTGTGACGGCCCCAGGGCCTTTGTCTTACGATGGGGTGGAGCTGAAGAGGCTAATCAGCGCGATCACGGACACCTGGCCGGAGCCGAGGTGCTAGCCAGCTGCCCGGAGTCAAACGGCGGCCCCTCTCTCTCTCCAAAGCAGCTCAGCGATCCTCTCCCCTCACCACCTATCTCTGCATTTACCACAATAAATGTGCCGTGGTTTTGTAAACTCGTGTATGTCTCCTTGTCTTTCCGTTGTGGCCTACGAGCCGGTCATAACAAAGAGTAAGTTATTTTTACCCGTTATAAACTACTACTGTTTGATGAGAAATCAAATCATGGTTTGCTATATATGAATGATATGTTATAGGAGCAAATAATTCAGGGAAGAAAGGATAGGCCTACTAAGTATTTCCATTAAACTTTATTTTTAGAAATGTACAAAATGAACGTAAATATACATATATACACGGTATATCGTCAATTACTCCCCGTTGTCGGCATCTTGCTTATAGCAGCCGGGGCTTTTTGAGACGATGCCTCAGTGTGGTCGTCCAGTCATGTATTGTCCGGCAGGATCTGGCTGGACGAAATCAAATGCAAATCACAAAATATTAGAGAAACTTAGTTGTTTTAGATTCGTTAGTAGTAGTTGTGGTAGGAGTGTGGATCTATCTAATGAACAGCTTGCCTGCTAATATGCTAACCTAGCTTTGTTTACCTTGGTACCAAACATGATATGAACGGTAGCTTCGGAGGAACGGCAACTATAATGGAGTGTAATAAAACTACTATGAACAAAAGTTAGTGGTTCATATTAGGCTAGCAATAACGTGTTTATAATTGCATTCTTCTACTGGTAGTCTGCTACGTTCGGTCATGCAATGTTTCCCGCTAGCATGTATAGCTAGCCTCGTTAGCTATACATGCTATCAGCGTCGGAGGAAAGCCAACTGTAATGTACCGTCCTTTGGGGGTCTGTGAGCGGGCAAAGAGAGGGGATTTCCCCGTTGTCTCTGCTGGAAGTGTGAAATAAACTTAGTTGTTTGATGTTCGTCAGCTTGCCAGCTGGATTACAATGCTAATCTATGTTTGCTAGTTGTTCAGTTGTTCAATATGCTATACTATACTATGAACAACAGATAGTGTTTCATATTAGGCTATCAAGCACATGTTTACAATTGCAATCTTATATGGGTAAAAACAATGTTTTTCCGAGCAAACTCATGTCTAGCTCTTAGTAGCCTTGTTGTTTAGCTCGGTAGCATACACGCTCGGAACGCCAGCTATAATGTAATTACGTTTCGCGACTGACCGTACGGTAAATCACCAGGAGTATACTGTCTATGAGTATTTCGTGTGTGAATGCAGACATTCTCCTGCTATGAGATACATGTATGTAAGGCCATCTGCTGATATTAGAGTTGATATGGAAACGCTAGCAACTTAGTTAGCACAGTTAGCACTGGCTTAGCAGTCCGAAACATGTTTACACATTTAAACAGTCGTGGTAGATACCTTGTTTGATAAATACACAAATAACAATGCAAACTTACAGGTTGTGTACCCGAATCTTCCCCTGCTCCAAACGGTCCAAACAAACTAGGAATAGCATCGTCCTTCAGTTTCAAATGCTGTGCATATCCGGCCTCAAACTGGGCAATGTTTTGGAAGCTTTCGTCTGTGAAATGCCGCGCACACAGTAACGTTCTTCGAACCTCTGAAGGAACAGTGTTAAAAAGAAATTTCAACCTCTGACTTCGTCGTGGTTCTTCCGTCGGTAGGACAAACAGCTCAGATTTCTCCTCACATTTCAGGAAACAGGTCATTGGCATTGGCATGACTGGATCGATTGTGAACTGAACCAGAGCTTCCAACAGTAAATGTTAGGCTGGCAGAGGGTGCGGCCAGCGCCGCTGGGTGTGGCCATAGCTCTTCGGGATTGGTCCATTTCGTTCCGGGTACCGCATGACATCAGGCCGTACCCGGAACTAAATGGAAGACTCAAATGGGCAGTGACGTATCTCCAACGAGGCGTTTTGGGGAGGTATTTTCTGTGTTAGAGTTTTACTCGCTACAGGGTGTACTTTGAGGGTTTTGACTCTGCACACCGTTTACATGCATAAAAACCTTCATAACACACAAGGGGACGGGTAATAAACGGAAAAGCATGACATGGGAGCTTTAAGGGGAAAGTCATTTTTAAAAAGTGAAAAAGAAAGACGTTTCTTGGAAAGTTAGGGAGTTTTTCAAAGAGTGAAATACATTTAGTGAAGCTGAGGGTCCTGAGGAACATACGTTAGGAAACGCAACAAGTTAGCTGAAGTTAGCAGCATCAGATGAATCATGAAATGTAGGGGAAACATTCTTTACCGCCTTCTCTAACTCACTCTGAGCTACAGCGCTTTGTCTCTTGATGCCCTGTAGAAACTCAGAGGGGAACGGTTAGTGGAGCTGAGGGTCCTGAGGAACGCACGTTAGGAAACGCAACAAGTTAGCTGAAGTTAGCTTCACGTTAGCAGCATCAGATGAACCATAAAACTTAGGGGAAACTTACTTTACCGCCTTCTCTAACTCACCTTCAGACATTTGTTGAAGAGTAAAAGAAAATGTCAAGAAGATGTTGGAAATAGGTAGCTATGTTAGCAAGCGTTGAACTTCTTTTAATGTTTGTCTTTCTTCTTTACCTAAGGAATCTACGTTAGCAATTGCAACAAGTTAGCTGACGTTAGCTTTACGTTAGAAGCATCCGATGGTTTAGGGTAAGGGAAAGTTATTTTTGAAAAGTAAATGTTAACCGTCCTTTTTGAATCATGAAACTAAGGGGAAACTTACTTTACCGCCTTCTCTAACTCACTCTGAGCTACAGCACTTTGTCTCTTGATGCCCTGTATAAACTCAGAGGGGAACGGTTAGTGAAGCTGAGGGTCCTGAGGATCGTATGTTTGGAAACGCAACAAGTTAGCTTAAGTTAGCTGAAGTTAGCTTTACGTTAGCAGCATCACATTCCACAGGGGAGAAGGGGAAAGTCATTTTGGAAAAGTTAAATGTTTGAAGTCCTTTGAAACATGAAGAGGTCCTCAGGTTTGAGTCTATCCACCCATCCATCCATCCATCTATCCATCCATCTATCCATCCATCCATCCATTCATCCATTCATCCATCCATCTATCCATCCATCCATCCATCCATCCATCCATCCATCCATCTATCCATCCATCTATCCATCCATCCATCCATCCATTCATCCATCCATCTATCCATCCATCCATCCATCCATCCATCCATCCATCCATCTATCCATCCATCCATCCATCTATCCATCCATCCATCCATCCATCCATCCATTCATCCATCCATCCATCCATCCATCCATCCATCCATCCATCTATCCATCCACCATTTCCATATTCTGGATAATAAGTATTTTATTTCTGGGAACTCAGAAACAGAAAACATACAGCTTTCAGTATTTAATACCTGATCCTCCCTCTCCTCAGGGAACATCATCGGCTCCGGGATCTTCATCTCTCCAAAGGGGGTCCTGGAGCACTCTGGCTCGGTGGGCGTGGCCCTGGTGGTCTGGGTGATGGGTGGCTGCATCGCGGCGCTAGGCTCGCTCTGCTACGCTGAACTGGGCGTCACTATCCCCAAATCCGGAGGAGACTACTCCTATGTGACGGAGATATTCGGAGGTTTGATGGGGTGAGTGGAGAGCCTGTTCTAATGGACAACAGTACAGGGATGAGGTGTTTTTGTAGTGAGACCCTGAAGGCAGCATCTCCCCGGTTCTATTCACAAAAATGCAATCGAGATGTTCCATTGGATTATTTTTTGAAAATAATATAATAAGAAATAATAAACAAATAATGTTGGGCTATAAAGGAACTACAGCACGGTCACATGACTTCACGTCACCACCGCTAAGCTAAAGGTGGCTAATGTTGGGCTATAAAGGAACTACAGCACGGTCACATGACTTCACGTCACCACCGCTAAGCTAAAGGCGGCTAATGTTGGGCTATAAAGGAACTACAGCACGGTCACATGACTTCACGTCACCACCGCTAAGCTAAAGGTGGCTAATGTTGGGCTATAAAGGAACTACAGCACGGTCACCTGACTTCACGTCACCACCGCTAAGCTAAAGGTGGCTAATGTTGGGCTATATATAATAATAATAATAATAGATTTATTTTATATAGCGCCTTTCAAGGGACCCAAGGTCGCTTTACAACTAGTATAGGAAAAAAACAAACATAACAAAACAAAAGTCGGACAGACAAAACAACAGATCGATTAGGGGCCGAAAGCCTTTGCAAACAGATTGGACTTGAGGGCCCTTTTGAAGGCGTCTAGTGTGGGGATGTTGCGAATCTCCGCAGGGAGAGCGTTCCAGAGGGTGGGGGCTGCCACACTGTAGGCTCTGTCCCCGAAGGTTCGCAGTTTGGTGCGGGGGATGATAAGCAGGCCAGAGTCTGAGGACCGCAGGTTCCGGGGTGGGGCATGTGGGTGAAGGATGTCCGATAGGTACTGGGGGGCAAGGGCATAGAGGGACTTGTAGGTGAGGAGGAGGATTTTGTATGATATACGGGACTTGACCGGCAACCAGTGTAGGTGGATGAGGGTGGGAGTGATGTGCTGCCACGGCTTTGTGTGCGTGAGTACCCTGGCAGCACAGTTTTGGACATACTGGAGCCTGTCCAGGGTTTTTTTGGGAACCCCGAACAGGACACCATTGCAGTAGTCCATGCGAGTGGTGACAAATGCATGCACGAGGGTTTCGGCAACCGACTCCGAGAGTGACGGTCGGAGTCTGGCAATGTTCCTCAGGTGGAAAAAGGCCGATTTGGTCACAGATTTGATGTGGGAATGGAAGGAAAGGGTGGAGTCAAGGATGACACCCAGGTTGCGGGCTTCAGGAGATGGGGAGATGGAGCAGCCGTCGACCTCAAGGATGAAGTCACCAACCTTCTGGAGCAGGGCCTTGGGTGCCACAACCATGAGCTCTGTTTTATTGCTGTTCAGCTTAAGGTAGTTGGAGGACATCCATGTTTTGATGTCATGCAGGCAGTTGATGAGAGACTGAGGGGGGAGCTGGGAGGATGGAGTGGTGCTGAGATACAGTTGGGTATCATCAGCGTAACAGTGGAAATTGAGTCCATGATGTCGGATGATCTGGCCGAGGGGGAGCATGTAAATGGTGAACAGGAGGGGGCCAAGCACAGAGCCCTGGGGTACACCGTGGTGGACTGGGGCCGTGGGTGAGTTTGAGCCACTGATGGAGACAAACTGTTTCCTGTTATGGAGGTAGGATGTGAACCAGGACAGCGCTGTGCCAGTGACACCTAGGAGGTCTGAGAGGCGGGTGAGGAGGATGTTGTGAGAGATGGTGTCAAACGCTGCAGAGAGGTCCAGGAGGATGAGGAACTACAGCACGGTCACATGACTTCACGTCACCACCGCTAAGCTAAAGGTGGCTAATGTAGTGTGTGATGACGTTTTGTCGTCTCTTTTAGACACTTGTTAGCAACCGGAAGTGGCTCAGTCAGTAGGGGCTTGGACTGGGAGCTGTAGGGTCGCTGGTTCAAGTCCCCGGTTCAAGTCCCCGACCAGACCTAAAATATGGAGTGTGGACTTCTACTTGGAGAGGTCCCAGTTCACCTCCTGCCCTGCTGTGGTGCCCTTGAGCAAGGCACCGGACACCCCCCTTCCCCCCTCACTCCCATTGCTCCCCGGGCGCTGTACAATAGCTGCCCACTGCTCCTGGTGCTAGACTCCTGGTACTAGGATGGGTTAAACCATGTGTGACCATTACATAGGGGTTCATCCCTCCGATTCTATCGAACCTCTGTTTTTAATTGAGTTTAAGGGGTGTAGGGAGAGAGGGAGGAATAAAGAGATGTTGGAAAGGAGGGTTGAATGTTTGAAGAGTAAAAGGGACGAAGGGAAGGTGGTTCCTGACACCGGAGAAAAGTTGATTTAAAGGTGTCGTGAAGGTGTTGCCATGCTCCCAAACTTAAGCTAACTAATCCTCTTCATCACTGATTTGGTTTTCATTGTCTTCCTCTCTCGCAGGTTCCTGCTGTTGTGGAGTGCCGTCCTCATCATGTACCCGACCACGCTGGCCGTCATCGCGCTCACCTTCTCCAACTACGTCCTGCAGCCCGTCTTCCCCGACTGCGTTCCTCCGTACATGGCAACACGCATGCTGTCCACCGTCTGCCTCCGTAAGTGGACGCCTGAAGCCACGTATATATTCTCTTTTGCCATCTTTGTTTCTAAGTAAATGTTTAGAAAATCTGATATTTTTGTAGTTTGACGTGCAAGCTTTTTTCTAAGCTGCTGTCATATATTGCTCAGTTTCAACCCCAACATCAAGGGTGTATTAAAAAAAAAAAGACAAAACCTCCAAAATAAGATATTGTACATCGGATTTTTTTATACATTTAGATTTCTCTATAGCCTATAGGCTTCTGGAAGTGGGACTGTTAAATACCGTGATGCTCATTCAGGAGGAGGCTGCATGGAAGTAAACAGATGTAGAAATGAGAAACAGCTTAATTTCTTCTGTTTCTGATGCACTTTAGGGTGGATTGTGTATTTTGCGGCATCTTCATGACGGTTAATTTATCCTGATCTCTCCTCTCTAATGCTGCTGATGATAACACAGCTCATCAATAAACAACATGCTCCTCCTAGATGAAAGGAAAGGAGGTGTCAAACTTCCTTTATAACCTCCTTTAGCTTAGGAACGACTGGACCTCCCTAACCGAAAGGAGAGGAGAAAATGCTGCCCCACAATGCCTTGCAGCCGCAGCATTTGCCGTCACACAACAGCCGGCCGTTCACGGAAACAACCGATTATGACCGAGAAATGATATCATGAAAGTTACGGTGCTTATTAAGCATTTTAAAACGTATGTGGTAAGTTGCCAAAGTGCTTTGTTTTGAACGTTCATCAGTATTATAATCAAAAAGAGAAATATGAATGTTAGTTTTTACTGAAAGGATCAAATAAAGTCAACATTTCACAGTCTTTACTGAGCTGTGTGGGGTTTGTTCAACTTTTAAAAGATGTTTGAATGGTGATATACACAGTGATAGATGTTAAGGACTAACGTTTATAATAAATACATTTGTATTGATTTTAAGATCTTTTCATACAATCATACGTATTGGGATCATTTGTATTAATGTGGACCTTTGGTCATGAAGAATATGTTTCTCTGTTGTCCCCGTTCATAAAGCATAAAACAACAGCATCAGAGCACGGTGCAGAGTCTCTAGATGAGTTTACAGTAGTCCCTCGTTCTTATTAAACATCCATGTTGTAGTCCGCTGTATAGAAAACTGTAGTTTCCATAGTTTCCCCACAGCAGCAGGCGCACATTTATGACCTCCGCTGGCGCATCATAAACACGTCGGATAGTGGAAGTGCAGTCGGATTCTCTAAAGTGCCGCAGTCTCTTCTCCTAAATCCTTTTGAATTCTCCTATCCACTATCCCTTAACCCCGTGACCTTTCACTCAGAGGTCAAGGGATAGACGATAGGGTTAGAACTTAGGAGCTGATTTTTGGACTATTCGACCACAACCCAGGGAACTGAAACCTGAAGTATCTGCAGATGTTATTAAGCATCCTGCTGAGGTTCTTTTAGTTTTGAGGGGAAGTGGAAGCAGAAGAGTTTCTTCACCCCATCAAAAATTGAAATGTTCCCATAAAAAATGGATTGTATGAGAAAATAAATGCTTTATGAGGACTGTAGGGGCGAGGCAGAGATCATGCAGGATCTCAGTCACTGAAACAACTGAACCGTTGACTTTAATTAAATGTATTATGTCAACAGATTTCACATCAATGTATTAGGCTATAGCAATGATGTAATAGTAAGTTGAACCTTACAGTTTTTATTTAAACTTAATTCATTTTGTCCCCACCACTTTGCATTAGGATCATTTGTTAAAAAAGTTCTGAAAATAGTGTGCACAAAGAATTGAACACTTTGAGAAAGCTTTATTTGCACAACAGAACATGTTCAATCTGGAGGACTGGTCACATTTTCTGGGTGTATCTCGGTGACCCAAGTGGTGCAATTTTTGACATGCGACACGTTTAATATTAGTTATATTCGAATAGAGAATAGCTCATGTTGCCGTTGTTCAGCATGGAAACATTCATTAGCTAACAATGACATTATTGTTCTATTAATATAAAGGGAGGTCAGGTACTCTTTAAAACAGCTGCTAGTTATGGGTACTTTTTACTGAAGTACATTTCAAAGCCCTCTTTACTTTTACTTGAGTAAAGAAGTTTAGTCAGTACTTCTACTTTTACCAGAGTATTTTTAAACACGAGTATCTGTACTTCTACTTGAGGAAAGAATGTGTGTACTTTTGCCCTCTCTGTTCATGAGTAAATAACGTCTGGCTTCAAATCCCGTCTGCGGGGTGAAGCGGCGGGACTTCGGGGTGTGATTCCTCGCCTCTGACGCCATCATTCACACTTGTTTTTGGATCTGGACGCTGAAACGTGAGCTCTAAATGTAGGGATGGTGGGGGGGAACGGAAGTGGTTTGTTTAGCGGGGCTGACAGCTTGTCTTTGTGTCGGAAAGCGAGGCCACCATGAGAGCAAAGCCGGTGACAATGATGGACGAGGTGAAACAATCGCCCTGCCCTCCCTCCATCGCCCGTTTCCCACATTCCTGCCTCCCGGGGCAACTGGCCGCCCACCAGAAACACACCAGAAACCATCAACGGTTACCCAATGGCAATGGTGCTGATATATTTAAAGGGACAGTTCACCCCAGAGTCAAAAAACGCATATGTTTCCTGAGTGTCATGAGTGTTGGAGATGTCTGCCTTCTGGTTATTGTGCTTAAAGCGCAAAAAAAACATGGAAAAGAGAGTTGATTTAAATGGATATAATGGAAGATAATCCATAGTTAGCAGTTTCAAGTGGTCTATTTCCTGTTTACCAAACTACACTGACAAACCATATCATCTTAGCGGTGGTGACGTGAAGTCATGTGACCGTGCTGTAGTTCCTTTATAGCCCAACATTAGCCTCCTTTAGCTTAGCGGTGGTGACGTGAAGTCATGTGACCGTGCTGTAGTTCCTTTATAGCCCAACATTAGCCTCCTTTAGCTTAGCGGTGGTGATGTGAAGTCATGTGACCGTGCTGTAGTTCCTTTATAGCCCAACATTAGCCTCCTTTAGCTTAGCGGTGGTGACGTGAAGTCATGTGACCGTGCTGTAGTTCCTTTATAGCCCAACATTAGCCTCCTTTAGCTTAGCGGTGGTGACGTGAAGTCATGTGACCGTGCTGTAGTTCCTTTATAGCCCAACATTAGCCTCCTTTAGCTTAGCGGTGGTGATGTGAAGTCATGTGACCGTGCTGTAGTTCCTTTATAGCCTAACGTTAGCTTTTTACTTCAGAAAGTGGTGTTAATATGTGGAGATTATCCTGCTGAACAAAACGTGTAAGTATCATAAATGTTTGTTTGACAGACCAACACAGTGTTGATCTATTTCTGATTGTGTTGAATTGTGTTTTCTGCTCAGTGCTGCTGACCTGGGTGAACTGCTCCAGCGTCCGCATGGCGACGAGGATCCAGGACGTGTTCACGGTGGGGAAGCTGATGGCGCTGGGTCTCATCATCGTGGTCGGCCTCGTCCAGATCTGCAACGGTAACACTCACAGAATGTTATGTAACAAGAGTCCTCTCCTGCTGATGTTCAGGTGTATATCAGTATGTCGTGTCTCTACTTTAAAGAGTCCTCTCCTGCTGATGTTCAGGTGTATATCAGTATGTAGTGTCTCTACTTTAAAGAGTCCTCTCCTGCTGATGTTCAGGTGTATATCAGTATGTAGTGTCTCTACTTTAAAGAGTCCTCTCCTGCTGATGTTCAGGTGTATATCAGTATGTAGTGTCTCTACTTTAAAGAGTCCTCTCCTGCTGATGTTCAGGTGTATATCAGTATGTAGTGTCTCTACTTTAAAGAGTCCTCTCCTGCTGATGTTCAGGTGTATATCAGTATGTCGTGTCTCTACTTTAAAGAGTCCTCTCCTGCTGATGTTCAGGTGTATATCAGTATGTAGTGTCTCTACTTTAAAGAGTCCTCTCCTGCTGATGTTCAGGTGTATATCAGTATGTAGTGTCTCTACTTTAAAGAGTCCTCTCCTGCTGATGTTCAGGTGTATATCAGTATGTAGTGTCTCTACTTTAAAGAGTCCTCTCCTGCTGATGTTCAGGTGTATATCAGTATGTAGTGTCTCTACTTTAAAGAGTTCTCTCCTGCTGATGTTCAGGTGTATATCAGTATGTAGCGTCTCTACTTTAAAGAGTCCTCTCCTGCTGATGTTCAGGTGTATATCAGTATGTAGTGTCTCTACTTTAAAGAGTCCTCTCCTGCTGATGTTCAGGTGTATATCAGTACGTAGTGTCTCTACTTTAAAGAGTCCTCTCCTGCTGATGTTCAGGTGTATATCAGTATGTAGTGTCTCTACTTTAAAGAGTCCTCTCCTGCTGATGTTCAGGTGTATATCAGTATGTAGTGTCTCTACTTTAAAGAGTCCTCTCCTGCTGATGTTCAGGTGTATATCAGTATGTAGTGTCTCTACTTTAAAGAGTCCTCTCCTGCTGATGTTCAGCTGTATATCAGTATGTAGTGTCTCTACTTTAAAGAGTCCTCTCCTGCTGATGTTCAACTGTATATCAGTATGTAGTGTCTCTACTTTAAAGAGTCCTCTCCTGCTGATGTTCAGGTGTATATCAGTATGTAGTGTCTCTACTTTAAAGAGTCCTCTCCTGCTGATGTTCAGGTGTATATCAGTATGTAGTGTCTCTACTTTAAAGAGTCCTCAAGTGTCATTTCTATTAAATAATTGTCTAATATGAATGCATGATATTTTGTCCTGCAGGGAACTATGAGGCTCTGACTCCTCAGGTGGCGTTCTCCATGGAAAGGACTCCGACAGTCGGTCAGATCGCACTCGCTTTCCTTCAGGCGTCCTTCGCCTTCAGCGGCTGGAACTTCCTCAACTACGTCACGGAGGAGGTGGTGGAACCCAGACGGTGAGCATATATACGCTATCAAATATATAAACGCTTCTCTGCATCTTTCTCAACATCCTCCATCCATTTGATCTCATTGCTTTGCTTTCTCACATTGTTCTGGGCTTTTCCTTTTACCTGTTACCCAATGGTACTGATATATTTAAAGGGACAGTTCACGCCAGAGTCAAAAAACGCAAGTGCTTCCTGAGTTTCATTAGTGCTTAAAGCGCCAAAAACACATGGAAATCTCAAATAAAGTTGAGTTCAATCGATAAGATGGAAGAGGATCCACAGAGAGCAGTTTCAAGTGGTCTATTTCCTTTTTACCAAACTACACTGACAAACCATATCACCTTAGCAGGGGTGATTTGAAGTCATGTGAACGTGCTGTAGTTCCTTTATAGCCCAACATTAGCCACCTTTAGCTTAGCGGTGGTGACGTGAAGTCATGTGACCGTGCTGTAGTTCCTTTATAGCCCAACATTAGCCTCCTTTAGCTTAGCGGTGGTGACGTGAAGTCATGTGACCGTGCTGTAGTTCCTTTATAGCCCAACATTAGCCTCCTTTAGCTTAGCGGTGGTGACGTGAAGTCATGTGACCGTGCTGTAGTTCCTTTAAAGCCCAACATTAGCCACCTTTAGCTTAGCGGTGGTGACGTGAAGTCATGTGACCGTGCTGTAGTTTCTCACTTCTCCGGTGAGCATATATACGCTATCAAATATATATACGCTTCTCTGCATCTTTCTCAACATCCTCCATCCATTTCATCTGCTTGCTTTGCTCGCTCACATTGTTCTGGGGTTTCTTTTGGTCTTAATCCAATCGCTGCAGATACTTTGATATTGTGGAAAATGTGATGTTTCCCTTTGACTTGCAGAGAGTTAGGTCAGAAGATCAATACCATTCTCACATTTGTGCATGAAATATTGATGTGGTTACTGGAAACGGGGGGAACAGCTATCCAGCATCTTAAAAGTGTACAAATTAGATTTCAATTCTACATTTAGCATCCAGCAGTTTCTATGTGCTGGGAACCCCTGCTATACAGTTCTTAAAGGTCTCCTATTTATACTATTTTTAGGCATATATTATTGGTCTCAAATATTTAAAAATATATAAGTGGTTTGCTCGAAATACCAAACAGATCACCCATTCTAGCCTCAAACCCCTCTGTTTCAGACCTGTTACTAAAGTGATGATTCTGAGACAGCAGCTTTAAAAAAAAAAAATTATAGGAGACCTTTAAATAAAGCTTTTGGGTTCTCAACATTTCAGGGTTCGCTCAGCTGGCAGCTAGAGCTTCATGCATGCTGATGCTTTTATTTTTGGTTTTGCCGGTGTGATGTGTGCATGTGTGTGTCAGGAATCTACCTCGTGCCATCTACATCTCCATCCCGCTGGTGACCGTTGTGTACACACTCACCAACATCGCTTATTTCTCCTCCATGTCGCCCGAGGAACTGCTGTCCTCCAACGCTGTGGCCGTAGTGAGTAACCGGAGAAAATAACACTCAGTTATGGTCTTTATCTCAGAGAGGGGCCATATCCTGCTGATGCTCAGGTGTATATCAGTATGTAGTGTCTCTACTTTAAAGAGTCCTCTCCTGCTGATGCTCAGGTGTATATCAGTATGTAGTGTCTCTACTTTAAAGAGTCCTCTCCTGCTGATGTTCAGGTGTATATCAGTATGTAGTGTCTCTACTTTAAAGAGTCCTCTCCTGCTGATGCTCAGGTGTATATCAGTATGTAGTGTCTCTACTTTAAAGAGTCCTCTCCTGCTGATGTTCAGGTGTATATCAGTATGTAGTGTCTCTACTTTAAAGAGTCCTCTCCTGCTGATGTTCAGGTGTATATCAGTATGTAGTGTCTCTACTTTAAAGAGTCCTCTCCTGCTGATGTTCAGGTGTATATCAGTATGTAGTGTCTCTACTTTAAAGAGTCCTCTCCTGCTGATGTTCAGGTGTATATCAGTATGTTGTGTCTCTACTTTAAAGAGTCCTCTCCTGCTGATGTTCAGGTGTATATCAGTGTGTAGTGTCTCTACTTTAAAGAGTCCTCTCCTGCTGATGTTCAGGTGTATATCAGTATGTAGTGTCTCTACTTTAAAGAGTCCTCTCCTGCTGATGTTGAGGTGTATATCAGTAAGTAGTGTCTCTACTTTAAAGAGTCCTCAGTGAAGATATGGCAATGAAAACCTTAAGAAACTCCTTATGGAGGAACACACTACACGAGAGAGTAAACATCACGGTAGTCAGGTAGGAACATTTCCATAAGGATAAAACCATGTGTGATGTTGTAGTGATTGTGTGTTCTGCTGTCAGACGTTTGGAGAGAAGCTGCTGGGGATGTTCTCCGTCATCATGCCCATCTCCGTGGCTCTGTCCACCTTCGGAGGGATCAACGGATACCTGTTCACCTCCTCCAGGTGAGACCCTCCCCGTTGGGAAAATAGTGAACCTACTCTTCCAACATCAGAGTCCACATGATAACAAAGGTATCCCAACTGTAGCTGTGTACATGACAGGATGTATGATTACCTAGAAGAGCATCAGGACTGTTTGAGGCATATGATAACTATGTGATTAACATGATGATTCAGCCTCTATGGAGATAGACATATGACAAGCATGATCATTTCTGACGTGGAGCTAATCTGAAGTAAACATTGAATACTGCTTTCTATTCCTCCATCTTGTGACTGTGTAACTCCCTCTCTTGGATATCAGCATGTGAAGGACACTGTTCAGGAACTAGTTGATGCTCTGTATGTGATGACTACTTCCATTCTGGAGAGGATCACAAATACATGGATCCTGAGATTCAAGCTCAAGCCGCGAACGAGTGATTATTAACAATTTTAAGTATTCGGAAAAAGTCAGAATTTTGAGATTTTTTGGAAACTCAGAATTTTGGGGAAAAAAACAGAATTGCTTTGATTTTTAGAAAAAGTTAGAATTTTAGAAAAAGTCAGAATTTTTAGAGTCATATTTTTGAGAAAAATCTGACTCTTGAGGAAAAGTCAGAATGTTGAGAAAAAAACTGAATTTTGAGATTTTTGAGAGAAAGTCAAATTTTTGAGAAAAAGTCACCATTTTTGAGAAAAAGTCAGATTTTTTGAGAAAAGTCAGCATTTTGAGATTTTGAGAAAAAAAACAACAAATTCTCTTTTTTAGTTTTGACTACTTCCATTCTTGAGAGGATAATACATGCATGGATCCTGAGATTGAAGCTCAAGTCGGTGACCAGTGATAATTGTCTAACACTCCCTTACCTACCACACTCCTGAATTATATAAACAGTGATCACCGCAATAAACCGTATTTATTTTGTCTTAATGTACATTATTTAATTTCATATTCTGTTCTTGTACATATCATATCATATTTACATGTATATAGACTTCTTGCACTATTTATTTTTCTCTACTTTATTATATGTTGCATTGTTGGAGGAGCTCAGGTCAGAAGAATTTCATTGCCATTTCTACTAAGTAGCTTGTGACAATAAAACCTTTGAATCTTTGAATCTTGAATGCTGCTCCGGAGGACTCGTTGTACTGCTTAAAATACTTCTAATGCTACTGTACTTTATTAATGTACTTAGTTGATTTATTTTGTCCTTCAGGTTGTGTTTCTCTGGCGCTCGAGAGGGTCACCTGCCCAGTCTGTTGGCTATGATCCATTATAAGAACTGCACCCCCATCCCCGCTCTGCTGGTCTGCGTACGTACAACCCAATGAGATACTGTAACATGGCTATGTAACACTCAATCATACACAATCTAATTATGCATTTTATTAAACATTCAACAACACTTTCAACAAAGAAAATCGTATCTTATCTTAAATATAATATATTTTCAGTGTGCTGCCACCATAGTGATCCTGTGCATCGGAGAGACTCACAACCTGATAAACTACGTGTCTTTCATCAACTATCTGTCGTACGGAGTCACCATCGCAGGCCTGCTGTATCACCGCTGGAAGAAACCCAACATTTACCGACCCATCAAGGTACCGCAACGCTTCAATATATCCATTAAAGGTCTCCTATCATGCAAAATGCACTTTTTGATCAGAATCAGAAACAGTTTTATCACCAGGTAGGTTGACACGGGGGAACAACGGAGCTGATCCAGATTTGCGTCCGATTTGACGTAATATCGGAAATGTGGGCTAGAATGAGTGATCTGTTTGGTATTTTGAGCAAAACACTTCATAGACACGTGTTTTATATATCTGAGACCTATAATACATGCCTGAAATTTAGTATAATAGGAGACCTTTAATCAAACTTTACTGAAAGTATGGACTGGAGCCAAATCTGGGCCAAAATGTTTGATCATTCGAAAACATTGTCACTGGCATTAGTTTGGATTTACTGACAATCACGGAGGAGTGTATAGAAAGTGTTTAGCAATATTTTTCGGGATACCTACAATTCCTGAAGGCAACATGACGACGTAAGGCCTGTCACTCACAGTTAAGCCCCGCCCCCCCATGCAAAATCAAGGCTGAAAAAAGTCTGAAAAAAATGGTCTGAATCTGGAAGCGTAAAATCTGCAACTGAAAAAAAGAATGACTAAAATATAAAAATATAAATGAATGTGAAATGTGAAGAAAAAAAATGTTTTAATCAAATTAAGTACTTGGTTTTAATTTGAAGTACTGTTTAAACCCATGAATGTTTCCCCCAAAAAAGAAATTAAATAATATTCAACCTGAACTTTTTATAAAAATACTTGTTTTTAGTTTGAACACATCATTTGTATTTTCCAAAGTTCAGGATAAAAACTTGAACTTGCTCAGATTTAGCTCCATAAAACAAAGCTGTGTTTTAAGTACTTGTTTTAATTTGAAGTTGTGGTGGATCCGATGTAACACTCACAACATTAGAGAATAAAACAAAGAGGAATCAATCAAACGCAGACACAGAGATGGTTGAAGTTAATTATTATATTACTGTACAGCAGGGGTGTCAAACTCAAATACACAGTGGGCCAAAATAAAAAAATGGGTACTAGTCGAGGGCCGGACTGGTTCAATGTTTATTGCAGAACTTATTGAAATGAATTTATTGCACATATTAAACCTGGAACTAACAAAGCTTAAATGATTGCCTATAAAAACAACATTAAACATGAAATAATCAGTTGCATTAATTTCTTATGGTTCTATCTGCAGCTTTTCCAGAGTCATTTCTTATGATTACATTTCTCCACAGGCCAACAACAGCTTCAAAAAAACAATTCCCCTCAAAGAACAAACCAAACATGCCCTGTTGTCGTGAGAAAGAAAGTGCAGAAGGAAACATCCATTAAACTCAGTGTGCTGCTCTGTGATGCTAGCTCAAGCCAGATACTTGGCATCTCATCTTGGGTGCAAGTTCATCAATGTTTGGCGTCAGGCTCTGAGCTGAGGAACTCCTCAGGATGGAGTGAAGGTGTGCGTGCAATATACCGGCGGGCCAGATCTAATAGTAATTCGAAATTATCCTGCGGGCCGAAATTAAATCCACCAAGGGCCTGATTTGGCCCCCGGGCCTTGAGTTTGACACATGTGCTGTACAGCATTATAAGAGACACATTACCTTTCAACGAAGCAGTCAATAGCGTAACGTCCCTACATACTAAGGGAATCTCACAGCTTATATGCTTCTCGAAACTGCATGCGTAGTTGAACTGTGACCTGACAGAATATTGTATTGCATTTTCTCCTCGGTCTTTAAATAATTCCAGGATCCATGACACTTTTCTCCGCTAATACCTTATGTAGAGAACTGTTGGCCACAGAAGTAGAGTGGTGCAGGAATGAGTCCTAAAACCCGGAAGTGAGTCAGCATTTCACCACTTCCTGTTTCCTGGTCTCAGAGCCAATGGGATCTCTCCATAGGATTTAGGAAAATATCTGTAAATAAGGTCTGTGGTTGAGACACATTGAAGAGACGGATCACGTTTTGTTCTAGGACATTAAATCCATCAGCAGTGACCCCACTGGTGATTTCTGAAGAGTTGACGTGTCTGAAAAACGATGGTTGTTACCAAGTGGCTGAATAGGACTACAGAAGTTGAGGTCGTTGTACGTCATTACGCCGAACACGTAAACACTCCTCTAAGTTAGTTTGCCCTGTTCTGCTTGAAAGCAAGTCCCTGCCTCCTGCTAACTGTTCAAACAAACGCTTCAACTCGTACCATTTAGAATCTGTGTGTTTGAATATGGATCTGAAGTTGGCGTGACGTTGAAGTCGTGCTGCTGGACTCGCCTGTAGTTCCTTTATAGCATAACGTTAGCATTTTGCTTCTGGAGATTAGATTTATGATTCAAACATTATAAAAGTAGGGTCGACATGTGGAGATGATCCGACTGAACAAAACGTGCATTAATCAAACAGCTTCGTTCTCCACAGACATTATTTTTTACAATATTCCAAATCCTATGGAGAAATCCCGTTGCTTTTTGTCGAGGGAACCAGCCGCTTCCTTCAGGGTCGAACTACACAAATACGTCATCACTGCACCGCTCTATAGGTATGCCTCTTTTTGGAAACCAAATGAGTAACCCACACGTTATGGCTTTTACAAAGTTCTGTTTAATCCCATGAATGTTTTCCCCAGGTGAGCCTGCTGGTGCCGCTCAGCTACCTGCTGTTCTGGGCTCTGCTGCTGGGCTTCAGTCTGTACTCGGAGCCCGTGGTGTGCGGCGTCGGCCTCGTCATCATGCTCACCGGCGTGCCCGTCTACTTCCTGGGAGTCCACTGGAAAGAGAAACCAAAGTGCATCTACAAATTCATCGGTGAGTTGTATATGACCTCTACATACGGCTACATACTAAATAAATCAATGACTTGAAACGCTTATTGATCCAAAATAGATAGATATATAGATAGATTAGTACTTTATTGATCCCAAATTGGGAAATGTTTGCACTGCAGCAACATAAAAAGACAAGCCAATGTAGATAAGAGAAATTAAAACACTAGAAATAAACAATCCAAAATATTTCTTAAATAGAAATAAAATAGCATTAAAAAGTAAAAAAATATACACATGGAAAATATACATGTGGAAATACACATTTACAGTAAAAAATATAAAGCAGGATATTACATTAATTGTGCAAGGAATAGATTATTAAATATTAAATTGAATGATTAAAATGATTTTACTTATTTACATTTGTTAAGAAAAGGTAGTCCGTCCCACTTGTTAGTTGGACAGTTTTGCCCCTTTCACACCAACGCGGTTCCAGGGCCGGTTCGGAGCGAGAGCCTGATGATAAGCACAGTTTTTTCCTGTTCACACCGCAGCGCAGCCGGCTCTTTTCCCCGAAAACCGGTTCTTACCAAGCTCCAAAAAATTGTCGGCCTAGAAGCAAGAACCGCATACGTCACGCTTACGTCGGAGGGGGGCGAGATTAACCTGAGCTAACAGTTAATGGCGAGTACGGCAAATAAAAGTTGTAACAAGCAGTAGTGCTGAGCAAAGTGACTAGAACGCAACCACACACTTTATAAAGTCAGGCAACACTAACCAGGCTTCGTGTGATTCTGTTTATTTGTACCTTACTTTGACCATCCGTTCGCTGTTATTGATCATTGTGGAGAGCAGGCAGACGTTTTGTTTGTTATTATAGCAGCTATCGGATGGAATCAATACATGGGCTGCACAGGTTGTCATGTCCGACTATCACAAGTAGAATCATAATGAAAAATACGTCGGTAAAAAGTGCCTGTAGAAAACTGCTTAGCAAGTAGTCAGTTTAGCTTCGGTTGCTATGCTAACATCACCCATGTTATACCAGAGACACTTTCATAACAGCGTTGTGATGCCAAACAGCGTCAATTCAGACTGACACACATTCACTTAAGGGGAACTGGGGATATGTATCAGCTGCTTGTGTGACAGTCAGACAGTGAATACTTTAGAGCCGTGTGAGCTAACCCGGAGCTAACGGGAAAATAAACTCCCGTGGAAGAGCAGCCAGCACTGCAGCGGTCGGTAAATGCCGCTGAAACACATTAATAAACAATGAACCACGGCACTCTGGAGAAAAGTATAAGGTTGGAGAAGTCGTTATTTAATTTAATCTGGCTTCGTATGATTAAAAGCAACACGATCATCGACCCGACGCAGTCCCCGGCCCGTTGTTGTTGTTGTTGTGACGCAGTTGGGGAGAAAATCAGCGACGTAAACGGTGACGTCATGACTCAGCAGTGTCAGCACCAGTCGGGCTCTGAGCGGTGTGAACAAAACGGGGTCTGAAAAGAAGAACCGGTTCCGAACCAGAAAAGCTCTAGCACGGAGCTAGAACGGGAACCGCGTTGGTGTGAAAGGGGCATCGGTTGTTGTTCCCTTTACGGCCCGTCCACACAGCAGCGTTAAAAAAATCTTGGAGGTGGGCGTATCTGAAGCTTGGGGATTTTTTGCGAGCAAGGCACCAACAACCAATCACATGAATCTCCCGCCCGCGACATACGAAGCAAAAAAGCCCGAAGTAAACTGGATATAAACTCCCCAAACAGGCGAAAACATACCACTGTCTCTGCCACCTCCCTCCATGCCTGGCTCCTCCGGTTTGTATCCCGGTAGGTAAATAGGGACTGGTCATAAAGCACCGGGTGATTCGCTACCGCTAATTTCTCCTCCATGTTTTGGAATATGAGGAAATGGACTGCGGTATGTCTCTCCCAGCATACACGCCGTTTGATTGGCTAGAGCTTGAACTGTCAGATTTGCATACACGGGATTTGATTGGCTGACGCTTCCACCTCAGCTTCAAAAGTTGAACATTGCTCAACTTTGAATCCTGAAAATCCTGAAAATCCTGAAAATCTCCGCTCTGCTTCCCACAATGCAGTTCGGTGAAAAGTGAGGCAAAGTGACGTCACCCCATTCAAAGTGAATGGGCAGAAGCGTTCCAAGATTTTTTTAACGCTGCTGTGTGGATGCTCCGTTAGTGTTTACTTCCTGTCTGTCTTCTTCTGCTGTTCATTTTGAATCGATTATTCAACTTTGCCTAATAGTAATTGTACTCAAGTACAGTTTCTGATTGTACTTCATTACATGTGTTTAATCTGATGTATTTGTGTGTTTTTCTGCAGAGAGAGCGACGTACGTGGGCCAGCGGTTGTGTTTCGTGGTTTTTCCTCAGATCGACCCCATCGAGAACGAGCACCCTGCAGAATGGACTGACCGTTCTTCAGGCAGGAGCAGTTTCTCCGCCAACTCCTAGAAACTTTTCCTCCACATACACGAGGACCTTTTGTTTTGTTTGTTTTTATTCTGTGTAAGTTGAGACACTTCCTCCGGCTCCGGGCACTTCCTGTCTGACCTTTGACCTTCGGAGACTCTCTGCAAGTCGAGTGGAAACGTTTTTATTTTCTTCTCTTTTTGCTACTAAGTCTTCAAGTTACAACAACCTAATGCCAGCAGCTGTTGAAAGTGACTTTTATTCACATTTTGGACCCTTTTTTTTCTGACAGTACTCTGAGCGACTGGCGGCTTTTTCTGCTGAAAGTTTCCGCTCTTTTTTCGTGCCTTAATACGTTGGCCAACAGCTACAAGCGGCCCAAGACATTTCCATCAGGAGAAACGCGCTGCACAGTCTCCAGCTGTGTGCGTCACTCTTTAGTGTCCCCCGGTCTCCCAGCTGTGTGCGTCACTCTTTAGTGTCCCCTGGTCTCCAGCTGTGTGCGTCACTCTTTAGTGTCCCCCGGTCTCCCAGCTGTGTGCGTCACTCTTTAGTGTCCCCTGGGTTGCATTCGAATAGTCCATTTAGCTTAGGAACCTTCCTAACGGAGTGAAATGACCCGGAAGTCCCTCAGTGGCAGCCATGATAAGTGCCGTTCGAATTCTCTAAATTAAAAGGAAAGGAGGTTTCAAACTTCCTTTATAACCTCCTTTAGCCTAGGAACCACTGGACCTCCCTAACCGAAAGGAGAGGAGAAAATGCTGCCCCACAATGCCTTGCGGCCGCAGCATTTGCCGTCACACAACAGTCGGCCGTTCACGGAAACAACCGATTATGAACGAGAAATGATATCATGAAAGTTACGGTGCTTATTAAGCATTTTAAAACGTATGTGGTAAGTTGCCAAAGTGCTTTGTTTTGAACGTTCATCAGTATTATAATCAAAAAGAGAAATATGAACGTTAGTTTTTACTGAAATGATCAAATAAAGTCAACATTTCACAGTCTTTACTGAGCTGTGTGGGGTTTGTTCAACTTTTAAAAGATGTTTGAATGGTGATATACACAGTGATAGATGTTAAGGACTAACGTTTATAATAAATACATTTGTATTGATTTTAAGATCTTTTCATACAATCATACGTATTGGGATCATTTGTATTAATGTGGACCGGAGGGAGAGGGTGACGAGCATAAGTTTCACTTTCCTTTTTATTTCAATTCCAACTTTGGTCATGAAGAATATGTTTCTCTGTTGTCCCCGTTCATAAAGCATAAAACAACAGCATCAGAGCACGGTGCAGAGTCTCTAGATGAGTTTACAGTAGTCCCTCGTTCTTATTAAACATCCATGTTGTAGTCCGCTGTATAGAAAACTGTAGTTTCCATAGTTTCCCCACAGCAGCAGGCGCACATTTATGACCTCTGCTGGCGCATCATAAACACGTCGGATAGTGAAAGTGCAGTCGGATTCTCTAAAGTGCCGCAGTCTCTTCTCCTAAATCCTTTTGAATTCTCCTATCCACTATCCCTTAACCCCGTGACCTTTCACTCAGAGGTCAAGGAATAGACGATAGGGTTAGAACTTAGGAGCTGTTTTTTTGGAGTATTCGAACGCAACCCTGGTCTCCCAGCTGTGTGCGTCACTCTTTAGTGTCCCCTGGTCTCCCAGCTGTGTGCGTCACTCTTTAGTGTCCCCTGGTCTCCTAGCTGTGTGCGTCACTCTTTAGTGTCCCCTGGTCTCCCAGCTGTGTGCGTCACTCTTTAGTGTCCCCGGGGTTGCGTTCGAATACTCCAAAAAATCAGCTCCTAAGTTCTAACCCTATCGTCTATTCCTTGACCTCTGAGTGAAACGTCATGGGGTTAAGGGATAGTGGATAGGAGAATTCAAAAGGATTTAGGAGAAGAGACTGCGGCACTTTAGAGAATCCGACTGCACTTTCACTATCCGACGTGTTTATGATGCGCCAGCAGAGGTCATAAATGTGCGCCTGCTGCTGTGGGGAAACTATGGAAACTACAGTTTTCTATACAGCGGACTACAACATGGATGTTTAATAAGAACGAGGGACTACTGTAAACTCATCTAGAGACTCTGCACCGTGCTCTGATGCTGTTGTTTTATGCTTTATGAACGGGGACAACAGAGAAACATATTCTTCATGACCAAAGTTGGAATTGAAATAAAAAAGGAAAGTGAAACTTATGCTCGTCACCCTCTCCCTCCGGTCCACATTAATACAAATGATCCCAATACGTATGATTGTATGAAAAGATCTTAAAATCAATACAAATGTATTTATTATAAACGTTAGTCCTTAACATCTATCACTGTGTATATCACCATTCAAACATCTTTTAAAAGTTGAACAAACCCCACACAGCTCAGTAAAGACTGTGAAATGTTGACTTTATTTGATCATTTCAGTCAAAACTAACGTTCATATTTCTCTTTTTGATTATAATACTGATGAACGTTCAAAACAAAGCACTTTGGCAACTTACCACATACGTTTTAAAATGCTTAATAAGCACCGTAACTTTCATGATATCATTTCTCGTTCATAATCGGTTGTTTCCGTGAACGGCCGACTGTTGTGTGACGGTAAATGCTGCGGCCGCAAGGCATTGTGGGGCAGCATTTTCTCCTCTCCTTTCGGTTAGGGAGGTCCAGTGGTTCCTAAGCTAAAGGAGGTTATAAAGGAAGTTTGAAACCTCCTTTCCTTTAATTTAGAGAATTCGAACGGCACTTATCATGGCTGCCACTGAGGGACTTCCGGGTCATTTCACTCCGTTAGGAAGGTTCCTAAGCTAAATGGACTATTCGAATGCAACCCGGGTCTCCCAGCTGTGTGCGTCACTCTTTAGTGTCCCCTGGTCTCTAGCTGTGTGCGTCACTCTTTAGTGTCCCCTGGTCTCCAGTTGTGTGCGTCACTCTTTAGTGTCCCCTGGTCTCTAGCTGTGTGCGTCACTCTTTAGTGTCCCCTGGTCTCCCAGCTGTGTGCGTCACTCTTTAGTGTCCCCTGGTCTCCCAGCTGTGTGCGTCACTCTTTAGTGTCCCCTGGTCTCCCAGCTGTGTGCGTCACTCTTTAGTGTCCCCTGGTCTCCGTTGGGTTTTGAGCTACCTGCGTTTTTCTTTACTTGCAACACGTTTCTTTTAATGGAAGTGTTTTAAGACGTGGTCGCCCTCTGTACAAATGCATATTCAAAAGATGTTTATTAACTGATTCTATGTTAGATTTTTAATATATTCTGCTTTGTGTATTGCATTAGATTATCAAAAAGCACTTTGGTCTTCCATCGTCTGTGTTCTCTCATTTTGCACAAAGCATCATCATCATCATATTCCTTGTTAATTAATATGTGTATTAATATTTGTTTAGTGTTAACTTGACCTGCTGCTACTCTCATATCACACACTCTGTTGGAATCAGCTGATTTAGTGTAGACATGCTTACAAATCCCTGGAGCAAAATGAGATTTAAAAAATGTTTTATTGGCAGCATTTATTTTTGTATTAATCCGTGCTAATGCAATGTGTGACTGAGAAACAAATTGGGCCGTTTTTACAAATATTACCCATTGGTTTTTGGTTGGAAATGAATCACTTTGCTCAACTTCCAATAACTTCTGACCCTGTGTGGTAAATTAAAATGTCATGTTTTAATATAGCCCTTTTTAAAATGTTTATTAAATCATTATTTTATAAAACTGTGCCTGTGTCTGACACCTAAAAACCGAAACATGTATGTGTATGTAAAACTCAATAAAGTATGGAAGCCCATAGGGAACGAATTCATAACTCCACATCAACATTAGGATTTTGGTGTTTTTTAAGTCAAATTATAATGCAATAATCCAAATGGAAATTGAAGAACATGTCAAATTCAGTTTATCTTTTTTATTTGTGAGACGTAAACATTGCCTGCATTAATGGAACATTACGTTTATTGCATTACATTTTTAAATATATTTGAATTAATATTTTTTAATACTGTCAAATGTGTAGCATGTACAACTTTGAACATTAAATGTCAAACCGTGTTTCCATTTTAATTTTTTATTTGATTGATTTTTTACATTTTCATTCTGAAGTTTACATTGTTGTTAAGTCCTTTATTGGTTTCCATAATAATGCTTAAGTACTTTAAATATATTTCGATACTTTTACTTGAGGAACATTTTGAATGCAGGATTTTTACTGTAACAGAGTATTCCTACACTCTGGTACTTCTACTTTTACTAAAGTACAAGATCTGAGTACTTCTACTTTTACTCAAGTACAAAATCTGAGTACTTCTACTTTTACTAAAGTACAAGATCTGAGTACTTCTACTTTTACTCAAGTACAAAATCTGAGTACTTCTACTTTTACTCAAGTACAAGATCTGAGTACTTCTAGATAGATAGATAGATAGATAGATAGATAGATAGATAGATAGATACAGTGACGTTTTTATATGTACAAAAGTGGTGGGGCACAAACAACTTAGATGTGTATATATAAGTTTCTGGTGCTTTTTTAAACACGTAAACAAATGACGTCATCCTGAAGTTCATTCGTCTTACCTTTGAGAGAGAATACTCAGCAGTTCTATGTGCTGCTGATCTACATGGCAGGGATCTATGATGACGTAGAGGTGCAAACAGGAAGTAAAAACAGCACGCTTCATGTTTCCTCCACACGTTTCAGCTGCTGTCGTCAGTGTTCCTCTTCATACATGCTGGTGAGTTCATTCACTGCAAACACAAACATCGCACACATCACCATTAGCATTTACACCCGCCTCGCGACTGTATTAGTGCCTGTTTCACCTCGGGTTGTGCGGAAATTAAAGGAGCAGCTAGCATGTTAGCATTAGCATAAATGATCCACCAAACTTCATTGAGAAAAATCACATTTTAATCTTTAATAGCAGAAAAAACTGACAGAAAACAGATGTATTAAAGGTTTACAGTTTGCTGTAGCTTTGATGTTATTTCGGCATACTTCGGGGTCAATAGTTACTTCTACTTTACTATAAAATCTTAACTTTTATCTGAGAATATCTATATCATGTTTTTCTAGTTTTTTTAATTGATTTGTAATTCTTGTACATTGACTGCATTTTCTATCCATCTAAATTATTTAAAGTACAGTATGCAGAGGTGGGAGAAGTACTCAGATCTTGTACTTCAGTAAAAGTAGAAGTACTCAGATCTTGTACTTGAGTAAAAGTACAGTAGAAGTACCAGATCAGCGCCTCAGTATTGCCCTCATACTACATTTTCTAGAAAAACCCTGTACTTAAAGGTGGGGTAGGTAAGTTTGAGAAACCGGCTCGAGATACACTTGTTGTTATATTCCATGGAATGCTCTTAACATCCCGATAGCAATGAATATCTGAAGTGCTTTGACAAAAAATCCATAAAATAATGTCATCTGTGGAAGCTGTAGTTCTGTAAAAAGCACGACCAATCATTTTAGCCGGCCCGGCTAAAATAACTGGATGGCCTACCTGCCTGTCAGCCTTCCATCTGGGCACAAACTTATCACTGATTATACATGTGGCATAATCTGCTAATGGTCGACCGAATCGAAGAATACATTGCTTAAAATGAGTTTCCACGTTAAAGTCCACAGTTGTTGTTGCTTTGTTGTTTTTTAACTGGAGTTAGGTGGACTAATCTCACAACACAAACTAACAGCGGTGTGTATTTGTTTACAGATTGTGTCGTAGAGGCTGTTGTTATCTGAGCGTCTCCCTGATGGCGCAGCTGAGCTTCAGGAACATCACGGCTCTGGCTCCGATGGTCCGGGTCGGCACGCTCCCCATGAGGCTGCTGGCGCTGGATTACGGAGCTGACGTGGTTTATTGTGAGGTGAGGATGGAGGCTTTCACTGGGAGACAAATACAACATGAGTACGGAGGTTTTACAGAGTGGTGCAGGAATGAGTCCTAAAACCCGGAAGTGAGTCAGCCAGCGTTTCCGCCAGAGGGGCGTCTTGCCGTCATTTGACGCCTTTATTCTGCTCGGAACGCCCTGAACTCGAGCCGAGGGCGTCTAAAAAAAATTATAATTTGAGAGAAGATCGAGAGTTGTTATCGCTTGAAATGACGAAAAGGGACAAGGCCATCCCTCTGTTGGAGGGGCAAAGCAGTCTGGTGGGATTCTTTTCCACGCCAGCAAAGCGTGTTCCTGGGACGGAAAGTGTACTCTCGGCGAGCCCTGACGGGGGGTGCTAGTGGAGCACGCGCGTGAACTGCGAGCGCCGGAGCCTCGCAGCGGCGAAACTGAGGCTCCGTGGTAAACTGTGGTAACATGAAGAGCCGCTTCGGAGCCGAAAGAGCCGGCTCTTCTTAGTGAGCCGAGCCAAATGATCCGGCTCACTAAAAAGAGCCGGAATTCCCATCACTAATACGTAAAGAGATTGTATCTATAACTTAAGGGACGGCTCAATTCAAAATTCAAGTCACTTGACACGAGTGGCTGAATAGGACTACAGAAGTTGTGGAGGTCGTTGTACGTCATTACGCCGAACACGTAAACACTCCTCTAAGTTAGTTTGCACCTGTTCTGCTTGAAAGCAAGTACCTGCCTCCTGCTAACTGTTCAAACAAACACTTCAACTCGTACCATTTAGAATCTGTGTGTTTGAATATGGATCTGAAGTTGGCGTGACGTTGAGGTCGTGCTGCTTGACTCGCCTGTAGTTCCTTTATAGCATAACGTTAGCATTTTGCTTCTGGCCATTAGATTTATGATTCGAACATTATAAAAGTAGGGTCGACATGTGGAGATTATCCGGCTGAACAAAACGTGCATTTATCAAACAGGTTGGTTTTCCACAGACATTATTTTTTACAATATTCCAAAATCCAATGGAGAAATCCCGTCGCTGAAGACTTTCCTTTTTAATAAAGCCTATAGTTAAAGGTCTCCTATCTTTCTATATATCTGAGACCTGTGATATATGCCTACAAACAGCATGACAGGAGACCTTTAAAGCTTGTTTAAGATTACCCTACATTGTCCTCCTGAGTCCTACGTTTTATGGCATCTTCATTTATAGATTTGTATTATTGTTTTATTTTTGTGATTTTTCTTGTATTTCACTTTCTTTCTTATTATTATTTTCTTGTACTTGTTAAATAATGAGAGCATTTCTCAAAACGAGTTCAAAGTCACGGTTTTCAGACACTAACTTGTTCTTTTTTAGAAAGATGAGTTATTATTTTTTCAAGGTAATTATTATAAGGTACTGCGTAATTATCTTAACATATTAACTATTTATATATATTAATATACACTCATTATTTTGACATTATTTACACATTATCTGTAACTTTTTGGACATACTGAGTCCTTTTATTGACATTGTAACTTTATTATAGAATACCAAGGTCTCATCCACACCTGTAGTCCGCTTCTCAGACGACAGTTTGTTACTTCGTTTCATTTTCAGAAGGTTCAGTTTGCGTTCACACGGGCAAAACTCAAACGGACTATACACTTTAAACACAAGTCATGTGCTCGGAAATGCTGTTCAACCATTGGTCAGACATTACGGGGGTATAAACGCAATTTCTACCGGAGCTTTGGAGCATCGGCAGGTTATTTTGACGCTGCTGTTAATCTGGAGATCAACAGACTCTAGAGGACGGGCGTATATTTATATAATCAGACAACGTGCGTTAAAGCACATTATAACACATATAATGAGACGTTCTGCAGTCAGGAGGGGCGTTTCACCGACGACAGGTGGCTCTGACTTTTATGTATAGTTGACGGAGCATTTTTACTTTACACGACACTGTTCAACTCTTCATCCAACACATCCGCGTTCTTGTGACTCGTAAATACTACGCTTCCTATGTTCTGGTGCGGACTGCGTTCACACCAGCGATGAACCGCTCCAGAGTTCACTAACAAGCGGTCCGAGACCACCTCTTTTAGGCGGACCAGGGTCTTCAGAGTTCTCGGGCTGCGTTCACGCCGACCCAAACGAACCGCACCAAGCGGGTAAACGCACCAGGGTTCAATTCAACCGGACTAAACAAGGCTGGTGTGAATGCGACCTAAGTCATCATTTGAGATGGATAAGTCTTTGTTTTAGTAATTATTTTTCTATTTTATTCGATATACTCACTCATTATTTGGTTAAACTGAGTTATTATTTTAAGACACTAAGTCATACTTTGAAAATAAGAAGTCATTATTTAAAAATAAATGTGTGGTTTTTATTGGCTCATTATTACTTGAAAATGTGTGTGACTCATTATTTGGAGAAATCTTATCATTATAATAACTAACAAGATATTTTAAATTATATTAATATTTTTCTTATTTCGGCGAAAACCTGCCTCTATAGAGAGGCGAAGTCACGCCCATCTACTTCCGCCCCATGGGACCTTATTTCTGAAAAATTATGTATTGAAGTCAATGGGGAGAGAAAACTTATCTTTCGATCCCGTTTGAATTGTGCCATGAATTACACATATGATGTTTGTCAATCTTAAAAAATCATTTCCATGTCAAAAAAGTCACAGTTTGTCGTAAAACTGTTGAAATATAAGACTATGAAAAATACGCAACTAGAAAGACTACAAATCCCAGAGTCGCGTAAGTGACGTCATTAACGTTACACATTACACTCGTGTTACTCACCTTGTAAAGCCGGTCCCGCATGCTGGCTCTTAGGAACCGACTCACTCCCCTTGTGTGTATGTACAGCTCTCAACACGCCCAGACTTGGAGTGATTTTCACCTCTTTTAATACTTTCCGCTTCATTCTGAAAGAAAGAGGTGAAATGTGCCAACGTGACGGCCATCTTGGTGTTGGTGACGTATGCAAGACCAGAGATGTAGTTCATTGAGCGTTTCACACAAAAAAAAGTGTTACTTCACAGTTTTACGACACATTTTTATTTTTTTGACTTGCAAAATTATCTTTTAAATTGACAAACATCATATGTGTAATTCGTGGCACAATTCAAACGGGATCGAAAGATAATCTTTCTCTCTCCATTGACTTCAATGCATAACTTTTCCGAAATAAGGTCCCATGGAGGTTCACCGGAAGGGGAGGGACTTCGCCACTCTATACCTTTTTAGAGTTTTAAATGTTTTTAACTCTGTGTCGTCGGTTTCAGGAGTTAATCGACATCAAAATGGCCCAGTGTGAGAGGGTGGTGAACGGTGAGTCTCTCAAACCCTTTTTATATGTAAAAAAAAATACATTAAAAAACAATACACGCATACAGAAATAGCTTGCTTACCTAGATAAAAGTACAAAAGTATTAGCATCAAAATACACTTAAAGGGGACCTATCATGCAAGATGCACTTGTGTACGTCTTTTCTACATGAATATGTGTCCCCGGTGTTCCAGGGAACTCACCAAGTGTCAGAAAACACAACCCTCTCTATTTTCCTCCATACCCAAATCTCTAAAAAAGGGGCTGCAACGGATCTGATAAAAACTGATCCAGATTTGAACACTGTCCTGACGTCAGGACGGTGGCGCTACGGCTATTGGGCCAACTCCACCAATCAGGAGGAGACAGCCACGGCCATTGCCGTTAGAAAGCGCTGGAGACGCTGTAGTACATATGCCAGGCCTGTAGATGGTGCTGTTCTCACTGAATCTGCCCTTGCTAAAACAGAGCTAAAAAATGTCAAATTGAGCAAAATGAGGCATGGCTAAAATGCATGATCTGTTTGGTATTTTGAAAAAAAAAAAAGTATAAATATGCCTTATATAGGTATGGTCCTACACTATATTATTCAAATATAACATGATAGGTCCACTTTAAAGTACCAAAAGCAAAAGTACTGAATACGTATTCCTTTAATTTTAATTTCTGGACTCTTTTATACTTTGAATTCTTGTATTTGTTTGCATGTTTTATAGATATTTAGTATTGTTGTGAGCCTTAGAAAAAACCTGCTTCACTTTAATTATTGTTTATATGATGAATAAAAACGTTAAACTTATTTTTGTGGCGTGTTTTCTCAGAGGTGCTGCACACGGTGGATTTTGTCGCTCCAGATGAACGAGTGATGTTCAGGACGTGTGAGAAAGAGAAGGAGAGAGTCGTCTTCCAGATGGTGAGCGACGGAACACTTTAAAGAGTCCTCTATAAGAGTATATAGTGTCTCTACTTTAAAGAGTCCTCTCCTGCTGATGTTCAGGTGTATATCAGTATGTAGTGTCTCTACTTTAAAGAGTCCTCTCCTGCTGATGTTCAGGTGTATATCAGTATGTAGTGTCCTCTACTTTAAAGAGTCCTCTCCTGCTGATGTTCAGGTGTATATCAGTATGTAGTGTCTCTACTTTAAAGAGTCCTCTCCTGCTGATGTTCAGGTGTATATCAGTATGTAGTGACTCTACTTTAAAGAGTCCTCTCCTGCTGATGTTCAGGTGTATATCAGTATGTAGTGTCTCTACTTTAAAGAGTCCTCTCCTGCTGATGTTCAAGTGTATATCAGTATGTAGTGTCTCTACTTTAAAGAGTCCTCTTCTACTGATGTTCAGGTGTATATCAGTATGTAGTGTCTCTACTTTAAAGAGTCCTCTCCTGATGATGTTCAGGTGTATATCAGTATGTAGTGTCTCTACTTTAAAGAGTCCTCTCCTGCTGATGTTCAGGTGTATATCAGTATGTAGTGTCTCTACTTTAAAGAGTCCTCTCCTGCTGATGTTCAGGTGTATATCAGTATGTAGTGTCTCTACTTTAAAGAGTCCTCTCCTGCTGATGTTCAGGTGTATATCAGTATGTAGTGTCTCTACTTTAAAGAGTCCTCTCCTGCTGATGTTCAGGTGTATATCAGTATGTAGAGTCTCTACTTTAAAGAGTCCTCTCCTGCTGATGTTCAGGTGTATATCAGTATGTAGTGTCTCTACTTTAAAGAGTTCTCTCCTGCTGATGTTCAGGTGTATATCAGTATGTAGTGTCTCTACTTTAAAGAGTCCTCTCCTGGTGATGTTCAGGTGTATATCAGTATGTAGTGTCTCTACTTTAAAGAGTCCTCTCCTGGTGATGTTCAGGTGTATATCAGTATGTAGTGTCTCTACTTTAAAGAGTCCTCTCCTGCTGATGTTCAGGTGTATATCAGTATGTAGTGTCTCTACTTTAAAGAGTCCTCTCCTGCTGATGTTCAGGTGTATATCAGTATGTAGTGTCTCTACTTTAAAGAGTCCTCTCCTGCTGATGTTCAGGTGTATATCAGTATGTAGTGTCTCTACTTTAAAGAAGTCCTCTCCTGCTGATGTTCAGGTGTATATCAGTATGTAGTGTCTCTACTTTAAAGAGTCCTCTCCTGCTGATGTTCAGGGTGTATATCAGTATGTAGTGTCTCTACTTTAAAGAGTCCTCTCCTGCTGATGTTCAGGTGTATATCAGTATGTAGTGTCTCTACTTTAAAGAGTCCTCTCCTGCTGATGTTCAGGTGTATATCAGTATGTAGTGTCTCTACTTTAAAGAGTCCTCTCCTGCTGATGTTCAGGTGTATATCAGTATGTAGTGTCTCTACTTTAAAGAGTCCTCTCCTGCTGATGTTCAGGTGTATATCAGTATGTAGTGTCTCTACTTTAAAGAGTCCTCTCCTGCTGATGTTCAGGTGTATATCAGTATGTAGTGTCTCTACTTTAAAGAGTCCTCTCCTGTTGATGTTCAGGTGTATATCAGTATGTAGCGTCTCTACTTTAAAGAGTCCTCTCCTGCTGATGTTCAGGTGTATATCAGTATGTAGCGTCTCTACTTTAAAGAGTCCTCTCCTGCTGATGTTCAGGTGTATATCAGTATGTAGTGTCTCTACTTTAAAGGGTCCTCTCCTGCTGATGTTCAGGTGTATATCAGTATGTAGTGTCTCTACTTTAAAGAGTCCTCTCCTGCTGATGTTCAGGTGTATATCAGTATGTAGTGTCTCTACTTTAAAGAGTCCTCTCCTGCTGATGTTCCAATAGGAGTGTTACATAGTGATGTCACTAAGTTCCTGAAGTTAACAAAGGAGAGAAATAACATGTATTTTATTTGTCAGGGAACTGCTGACCCGGACAGAGCGCTGATTGTTGCCAAACTTGTGTGAGTTCAAACTTCATCTTTTGAACTTTAAAAATCGGTGTTTTGTTTTAATCGCATGTGTGATCAGCTCCCAAACAGGAAAAGACTCTGGAATTCAGAAACACTCTCAATTAAGAAATGTAAAGAAAAAACAAAAAAGGGCATTTTTGAGCGTCTTCAAATGGACATGGATAAAAAAGACTAATTGTTATTATAATTAGTACTTTATTAAAGAATGTGAAGTGTAGTGTCAGTGGGTACACTTACCAAATCTGCAGGGGATCAAATACTTATTTCCTCCACTGTGTATAAGTATGTGAGGAAATGGAATATTAAATATTAGATTGAATATAAATGTAAAATGTCGTCCTGCAGGGAGAAGGATGTGGCCGCCATCGATGTGAATATGGGATGTCCCAAAGAATACTCCACTAAGGTGAGTTTCCTCTCAGTATTAAACCTAAAGCTCTGACCTTTGACCTCTGTCTGACACCTCTGTCTGACCTCTGTCTGACCTCTGTCTGACCTCTTTAGGGCGGCATGGGAGCGGCTCTTCTGTCCGACCCCGACAAGATCGTGGCGGTGAGTTGTTTTCACTTTTTAATATTTATAAAGTAACCTAACGATCCAGCAGCTCTCTGTACACTTTCTAAATGCCATGGATTCTAAACATACAGAAACTCAGCAGAGAGGATGACGATGTGAAGTAAAACTTTAAATACCTTCAGATCCTCAGGACGCTCGTCACAGGAGTGTCGATCCCCGTCACGTGTAAAATCAGGATCCTGCCCACGGTAAAAACATCAGTTTATCATTTATCATGTTTTCATTTCTGCACCTGGAGAATAAGCATGTCTCTCTTTATGTTACTCTATTATATATTATCTGAACATTTAAAGGTCACCTATCATGCACAATCCACTTCATGTCTCTTCTTCATCAACATGTGTCCCCTCTTCTTCATGTCTCTTCTTCATCAGCATGTGTCCCCTCTTCTTCATGTCTCTTCTTCATCAACATGTGTCCCCTCTTCTTCATGTCTCTTCTACATCAACATGTGTCCCCTCTTCTTCATGTCTCTTCTACATCAACATGTGTCCCCTCTTCTTCATGTCTCTTCTACATCAGCATGTGTCCCCTCTTCTTCATGTCTCTTCTTCATCAACATGTGTCCCCTCTTCTTCATGTCTCTTCTACATCAACATGTGTCCCCTCTTCTTCATGTCTCTTCTTCATCAACATGTGTCCCCTCTTCTTCATGTCTCTTCTACATCAACATGTGTCCCCTCTTCTTCATGTCTCTTCTACATCAACATGTGTCCCCTCTTCTTCATGCCTCTTCTTCATCAACATGTGTCCCCTCTTCTTCATGTCTCTTCTACATCAACATGTGTCCCCTCTTCTTCGTGTAGCCATTAGCCAATCACCAACCAAGGTAACCCCCCCCCACCTTATCACCTGAATCTCCTCCTAGAGCACCATTGAGTTCTTTGTAACCAAATCTCTCTCAGAGGGGCGTGGGGAGGGGCTCCTTATTTTCATCTAAAGTAACAGACAGAGAATCAGCACTTTAGAAACAGGGCTGAAACAGAGGGGATTATGGGTAATGCTGCAATGATCTGTTTGGTGTTTCAGCCAATCAGAGACAGGCTCTGGATATATCTGAGACCTGTGATATATTGATGAAATAACAGTATATAACAGGGGACCTTAAACTGTGCTTCAGGTGGAGGAGACGGTCAGTCTGGTGCGGAGGATCGAGGAGACGGGCGTCGCCGCGGTGGCTGTTCACGGCAGGTAAACAACCTGAAATATCGTGTCAGATATTATATTTCGCTGAGGGAATATCAAAGCTTGTGAAAGACAACCAAGTGTCTCATTAAAAGCTCTTCATCACAGATGTTGAAACTGCTAGAAGTGGAGCTTGATATTATACTTTTTCACTCACAATAAGTGTAACGGAGCGTCCACACAGCAGCGTTTAAAAAATCTTGAAACGCTTCTGCCCATTCACTTTGAATGGGGTGACGTCACTTTGTCTCACTTTTCACCGAACTGCATTGTGGGAAGCAGAGCGGAGAATTTCAGGATTTTCAGGATTCAAAAGTTGAGCAATGTTCAACTTTTGAAGCTGAGGTGGAAGCGTCAGCCAATCAAATCCCGTGTATGCAAATCTGACAGTTCAAGCTCTAGCCAATCAAACGGCGTGTATGCTGGGAGAGACATACCGCAGGTCATTTCCTCATATTCCAAAAAATGGAGGAGAAATGAGCGGTAGGGAATCACCCGGTGCTTTATGACCCGTCCCTATTTACCTACCGGGATACAAACCGGAGGAGCCAGGCATGGAGGGAGGTGGCAGAGACAGTGGTAGGTTTTCGCCTGTTTGGGGAGTTTATATCCAGTTTACTTCGTATGTCGGGGGCGGGAGATTCATGTGATTGGTTGTTGGTGCCTTGCTCGCAAAAAATCCCCAAGCTTCAGATACGCCCACCTCCTAGATGTTTTAACGCTGCTGTGTGGACGGGCCGTTAGTGCAATAAGGGTGAGTTATACAAGTGATTTCCATCTAAGGAGCATTTGAAAAGACAACTGGTCTCGACTAATGCAAAGAACACCAGCTTACACTCATCTTTAAACTCTGTGTCACTTGGGAAGAGTTTAGAAATAATATTTAATGTAATAAATCAGATTCACAGTCACAGCTTTAATGTGTGGTCACTTTGCTCTTCCTTGTAAAAAGATTCTCGACTTTGAATGTTATAATTTAAGTTTTTTAGGTGCTTTATTGCTCATTTTGTTGTGTTTCAGGTTAAGAGAAGAGCGTCCCCGCCATCCTCTACACTGCGACTTCATCAAAGCTGTGGCTGAAGCCGTCTCCGTCCCCATCATCGCAAAGTAAGGACTCTTTAAAGTAGAGACACTACGTACTGATATACACCTGAACATCAGCAGGAGAGGACTCTTTAAAGTAGAGACACTACGTACTGATATACACCTGAACATCAGCAGGAGAGGACTCTTTAAAGTAGAGACACTACATACTGATATACACCTGAACATCAGCAGGAGGAGGACTCTTTAAAGTAGAGACAACTACACACTGATATACACCTGAACATCAGCAGGAGAGGACTCTTTAAAGTAGAGACACTACATACTGATATACACCTGAACATCAGCAGGAGAGGACTCTTAAAGTAGAGACACTACACATGATATACACCTGAACATCAGCAGGAGAGGACTCTTTAAAGTAGAGACACTACATACTGATATAACACCTGAACATCAGCAGGAAGAGGACTCTTTAAAGTAGAGACACTATACTGATATACACCTGAACATCAGCAGGAGAGGACTCTTTAAAGTAGAGACACTACATACTGATATACACCATGAACACTCAGCAGGAGAGGACTCTTTAAAGTAGAGACACTACTACTGATATACACCTGAACATCAGCAGGAGAGGACTCTTTAAAGTTAGAGACACTATACTGATATACACCTGAACATCAGCAGGAGAGGACTCTTTAAAGTAGAGACACTAATACTGATATACACCTGAACATCAACAGGAGAGGACTCTTTAAAGTAGAGACACTACATACTGATATACACCCTGAACATAAAGCAGGAGAGGACTCTTTAAAGTAGAGACACTACATACTGATATACACCTGAACATCAGCAGGAGAGGACTCTTTAAAGTAGAGACACTACGTACTGATTATCCACCTGAACATCAGCATGGAGAGGACTCTTTAAAGTAGAGACACTACATACTGATATACACCTGAACATCAGCAGGAGAGGACTCTTTAAAGTAGAGACACTACACTACTGATATACACCTGAACATCAGCAGGAGAGGACTCTTTAAGTAGAGACACTACATACTGATATACACCTGAAACATCAGCAGGAGAGGACTCTTTAAAGTAGAGACACTACATACTGATATACACCTGAACATCAGCAGGAGAGGACTCTTTAAAGGTAGGATCACTACACCTACTGATATACACCTGACATCAGCAGTGTGAAGAGAGAGGACTCTTTAAAGTAGAGACACTACATACTGATATGACACCTGAAACATCAGCAGGAGAAGGCTCTTTAAAGTAGAGACACTACATACTGATATACACCTGTAACATCAGCAGGAGAGGACTCTTTGAAAGTAGAGACCCTAGCTATACTGATATACCACCTGAACATCAGCAGGAGAGGAATCTTTAAAGTAGAGGACACTATCTGGATATTACACCATGAACATCAGCAGGAGAGGACTCTTTAAAAAGTAGTAGACACTATACTGATATACCCTGAACATCAACAGGAGAGGACTCTTTTAAAGTGAGGACACTACATACTGATATACACCCTGAACATGCAGAACAGGAGAGTACTCTTTAAAGTAGAGACACTAAGTACTTGATATACACCTGAACATCAGCAGGAGAAGGACGTCTTTAAAGTAGAGGACCTACGTACTGATATCACACCTGAACATCAGCAGGAGAGGACTCTTTAAAGTAGAGACACTACTACTGATATACACCTGAACATCAGCAGGAGAGGACTCTTTAAAGTAGAGACACTACATACTGATATACACCTGAACATCAGCAGGAGAGGACTCTTTAAAGTAGAGACACTACATACTGATATTACACCTGAACATCAGCAGGAGAGGACTCTTTAAAGTAGAGACACTACATACTGATATACACCTGAACATCAGCAGGAGAGGACTCTTTAAAGTAGAGACACATACTGATATACACCTGAACATCAGCAGGAGAGGACTCTTTAAAGTAGAGACACTACATACTGATATACACCTGAACATCAGCAGGAGAGGACTCTTTAAAGTAGAGACACTACATACTGATATACACCTGAACATCAGCAGGAGAGGACTCTTTAAAGTAGAGACAACATACTGATATACACCTGAACATCAGCAGGAGAGGACTCTTTAAAGTAGAGACATACATACTGATATACACCTGAACATCAAGCAGGAGAGGACTCTTTAAAGTAGAGACACTATACTGATATACACCTGAACATCAGCAGGAGAGGACTCTTTAAAGTAGAGACACTACATACTGATATACACCTGAACATCAGCAGGAGAGGACTCTTTAAAGTAGAGACACTATACTGATATACACCTGAACATCAGCAGGAGAGGACTCTTTAAAGTAGAGACACTACATACTGATATACACCTGAACATCAGGAGAGGACTCTTTAAAAGTAGACACTACATACTGATATACACCTGAACATCAGCAGGAGAGGACTCTTTAAAGTAGAGACACTACATGATATACACCTGAACATCAGCAGGAGAGGACTCTTTAAAGTAGAGACACTACATACTGATATACACCTGAACATCAGCAGGAGAGGACTCTTTAAAGTAGAGACACTACATACTGATATACACCTGAACAGGACTCTTTAAAGTAGAGACACTATACTGATATACACCTGAACATCAGCAGGAGAGGACTCTTTAAAGTAGAGACACTACATACTGATATACACCTGAACATCAGCAGGAGAGGACTCTTTAAAGTAGAGACACTATACTGATATACACTGAACATCAGAGAGAGGACTCTTTAAAGTAGAGACACGATACTATATACACCTGAACATCAGCAGGAGAGGACTCTTTA